CCGCCTCCCAGGGTGACCCACTAACTAAACACATTAAAAGTCTTTTGGGCCCCCTGGTGAGGACTTCATACCTTGAGCTGGTCTTCTACCGGAATCAGCACGACCAATCTTCGTACATCTCTACGTAGGACAACAGTAGAGGGCAAGGTACAGTCTCGTCTATGGGTCCTGGAAACACGGGGGGCAGGAAGGCCTACGCAGGTGGCGACGTCAACATCCCGTACCACTCCGGTCTTGTCCGGATAGGTGACGACAATCCGACCGAGCCGGAACTGTCCTCGCAGGGCATTCTGGTCAGCGATCCAAACTAGATCTCCAACTTGGACATTTCTTTCTGCTCTATGCCACTTGGGCCGGATAAACAAGTTTGGTCCTGCTAGTTCACTCCACTTAGACCAAAACTTGTCGACTCCTGCTTGGACCGCCCTCAACCTGCGCCAAGGGTGGGTGTCCAAGTTGACCCCGTGCATATCTCCAGCTCGTCCAGTGCGCCCTAGGATGAGGGAGTTTGGAGTCAAGTACTCCACAGTTTCCTCTTGCTCCTGCGCTCTGGCATCAATAGGTCGCTCATTGGTTAGGTTGGCTGCTGAGTACAGCAAAGTTTGGAACTCCCCCCAGGTATAGCAGCTGGTTGTTCCGCCGAGGCTATTGAGAGCTCTTTTCATTAGTTTGACAGCTGCCTCTGCTGCTCCATTTCTGTGGGGCGAGTCAGCGGGGTGGAAGACCCACTGCCATTCAGTTCCATTTTTTGCTGCAATGTCCTCGATCGACACTTTCTGCAGACTGTCCAAGTGCCTGTGAAGGTCTCTTAGCGCAGATTTGGCACCCACAAAATTTGTGCCCCTGTCAGACCATAACTTCCATGGATGTCCTCTCAAAGCGGTGAATCTCGAGTACGCCTGAAGAAAGCTCTCAGCTGACAGGTCGTCTACAAGATCGGCATGGACAGCTCTGGAAGCCATGCAACAGAACACGATACCCCAGACCTTTTTCATGGTCCGTTTCTTGACCGCATCTCTTACTTCGAAAGGACCGAAAAGATCCAGCGTGGTAAACTCGAATGGGTTTGCTCTGTGTGTGCGCTCAAGGGGAAGATCGCTCATTTGTTGTTGGCATAGCCTTGCTTTCTGCTTCTTGCACGTTATGCACTCGTTGATCACCCTCTTGACTATCCTTCGGCCTTCTATGATCCAGGCCTTTCTTCTTGTGCGCAGTAGTGTAGCAGCAACCCCTTCATGATTAGCCTTGTGAGCTTCTCTAGCCAGCAGAGTAGCCAACCACGATTGGAAAGGTAGCAATGGTACCCCTCTACTGTCCTCTTTCCATGATTGGATTCTTCCGCCACAAAGCAAGAGTCCTGTGTTTTCATTTTTGGTTACAACAAGGCGGTTCAAGGTTGTAATTTTGAAGTCTATGCCACTCTGGGCAGCAAGGACCAAATCTTGAAAAGCCTCTGTTCTTTCGTCTGCAGACAGTTTTGAACCGTTTGCCTCCCACTTTGCTGGCTTCAAGGCTTTGTTCTTTGTCCTCAGCCATGATTCTACAGCTCGTCGGACCCAGGCGACAGTTCCACATAGTTTTGACAAGCTGCCAAATCGTACTAACTCCAACAGACTGATAAGAGCCACACCCCACGCCTTTCGTTTTGGCCATGTTATTGTTTGAAGAGGACTTTTGTCTTCTGGTTGTTGTTTTAGTGTTCTGACTTCGACATTTGAACTCTCACCTGCTTTACAGAGTCCCAATTCTTTTTGCGACTGTGCTCTAGTCATTACAGCAGAGAATGCTTTTCTTTGTAACCTTTTCACTTCAACAGCAACTTTGGTCACGATCTCACCGGCCGTCTTCACAGGCCAATCAGCTTCAGGACTTTTTAGAAACTCAGGACCTTGCTGCCATTCTGACTTCTCATCAAGCTCTTCAGGAGTGGCTCCCCGAGTGACGATATCAGAAATGTTGAGGTTACCGTCCACCCACCGCCAGTCTTCTACTGGTCCAGCCAATTGTATCTCACCGATTCGATTAGAGAAGAATGTTTGGTAGCCATAACTGTCCTTCTGGATTGCCCCCAAGATAGTTTGGCTATCCACAAAATGGACCCAGCGCGAGACCTCCAGGCGGCAATGTTTCTCAAAGTATCTTTTTAGACGAGTTGCGAAGACAGCGCCACATAACTCAGCCTTGATTACATCCCCTTTCTGGTCGAGAGGGGTTAGTTTTGCCTTTGATTCGACAAGCCTCACAACAACCCCTTCTTGCGTCTCCCAGCGGAGATAAAGCACAGCACCGTAGGACGCCTCACTCCCATCAGAGAACGTAATACCCATGGGGTGGCCCACGGCTCCAAAGGGTGTGAGGCTTCTTTCAAACCTTATCTGGCCAAGTCTCACATACCCCTCAAAGAGTCTTATGGCAGCCTCCCGGAGTTTTGGCGACAGTGGGTCATCCCAAGTGTCCTTACTTGGATTTCCTATCCTTGCTTCTTGGTAAGCCTCCCTTACGAGCATTACTCCCTTTTGTTTGGCTGGTGTGGCAAGACCGATAGGATCGTAGAATCCTGCGACCTGACTTAGAAGTGTCCGACGGGTTAAAGGGTCGGGAGTGTTATGACGTACTTCATCTTCTTTTAAGTCAATGCCAGTCCTCATCTTTCCTCGTTTCTTTGAGAAATGTATGCACGTCATTACACAAAGTTTGTCAGTCTCTGGTTCATAGCCAACACCCAGTGCTTTGTTTTCCTCGTCTCGTATCTGATTTGGCAATACCAAGGTTCTAGGCAAAGACTTCCCATCGTTACTGGAACTTGCCTGGGTCTCTGACCTCCCACTTTGGCCCGTCAACACCCACGGTTTCAGGGAGAAGCCGCCAGACTTTAAGATCTTTGCGACGCCTTTGGTGATCTTCTCCAACGTCTGGAGGTCATTGTGGGATGTCAGTATGTCATCGACATAGCTATCTTCTACCAGTACACGGCGCTCTTCCAGCATGTCGGCAAACTGTGGTAGGCTCGCAGTCTCTCTCATGGCAACCTGAGCGATGCACCCTGCAGGTTTATCCCCAATGTTCACTCTGACTACAGCGAATGTCTGGATTTCATCCTCTGGGTTGTCCCTCCAAAGGAATCTGTGGAGGTGAACTTCTTTGTCCTTTAGCCATACAGAATTATACATTTTCTTTACGTCCCCTAAGGCGGCGTATAATCCTGTCCGGAATCTTAGAAGGACACCTCTAATTGCATTGAGGACATCTGGACCCTTGTACAGAAGGTCGTTCAAGCTCACCCCACAAAACTTTTGGCGGCTGTTCCATACAATCCTTACTGGAGTAGAAGACGAGTGTGGATTAGGTGCTACTAAGTGGCTGATGTACCACTTCGGCCCCGTCCAGCTTGCAAGTTCCTCTTCAGTTAGCTCAGTTGCAGCTCCTCTTGAGATCATGTCACGGATTTGCTCCTTATACGCAGCCTTCCACTTCGGCTCCTTCTCAAGACGTTTCTCGGTGTTCAGGAAAGTTGCCTTTACTGCATGTCGGTTATCTGGTAACGTTGCAGGGTCACCTTTCCATGGATATGCAGCGTCCCAGTGAGGAGAGTCGCTGTGTTTGTCTGCTTGCACGTAGGTGAGACATTCTTTGATCTTTTCAAGTTCTCTTTCCTCTCCAAGTGTCATTTCTTTGCCACCAGGGGGACATCTACCGCACTTACAGCCACCACACCGGGGGTCACAGGCAGCACCGACACTGTCCCACTTGAACCACTCTCTGTGACTTATCAGAAGGTCGATCTTCTCGGGGCGGACCAAGTCGTTAGCAGCAATGTCAGGAAAGAACTTGAGAAGCTGCTGTGGTGTCACTGCCTGGTTCACTTTTGCGATGTTCTCCAGACCGTAACACAAGAGCTTATGCTCTGTCACTGTGCCTTTCTGAGTTTTTACTCTTAGTCTCAGAGTATACCTTTTGGTTGCAACCGTTTTCTCCATTCCTCCAACTCCTTGGACAATCAACTTGACCTTCTCGCCTTTCAGCTTTAAACGTTCAGCAGCATCGTTCGAGATGTAATTAGTGTCTGAAGCAAGATCGATCAGTGTACCAACAAGATGGCCTGAATTTGTTGTCACAGAAAGTAGCATCATCACGACTGGGTACTCTTTTGGTTTACTTTCTGATCTTGTGCACACTGTCGTTGTGATTTTGTTTGAGAAGGCTTCTTTGACCTCTGCTTTCAGTTCTGGAGAGAGTTTGGCGAGAACTTCTTCTTGTCTTTCTGTTAATCCAAGTCCTTTCATTTGTACTTTGACCTTGCTTTGTTCCACGTTCTTTAATTCTTTCTTCTTTGTTTGTGGTGGCAACGGACAGAGTAAGTAGTTGTGGTCTGAGGCCCCTCTTTTTTGACAGTCTTGTTTAGAGCATAGAAACCTCTCGGTGCACGCACTGTCTTCATCATGGAGGCGCAAGCATCTGAGGCATGCTCCTATCTTTTTCAGTAGAGCTTTCTTACTCGACAGGTTGAGCCTCTTGAAGGCTTTGCAGGCAAAGAGTCTTCCTTCATGCCCTTCCTCTCTGCAGACTATGCATGAACTTGACAGAGCATCCTTTTGGGTTGATGTTGCCTTTGTGAAGGCTTTCCTTTCTTTTGATTTCTCCTGTGACCTCTCATAGTCTTTTGAGCAGGGCTGTAGCTGATCCAACTCTTCAAGAATGTCTTCTTGTTTCTTCAGGTACTCTAGTAGACAGTCAAAGTGATGTCTGGGGGAAAAGCCGCTCGAGGGGTCATTCTTGTGAGTTAGCCACTTCTCCTTTAGCGAGTCTGGAAGCTTACTCTCAATCGACTGTGCCACTAAACGATTTTTCATTGCGTCTTCCTCCCCCAGGACTTGGAGGTCCCTGAGAGCCCTTTCAACAGCTTGAATTAGTTCAATTGTCTTTCTAGGGTTGTTTCCCTTGACAGGCGGTAACCCGTGGACTTCTTTTGAGATAAGTAGCGCTATTTTTGGCCTATTCCCTTATTTGTTGTCGAGGAGTCTGAACACGTCATTGGCAGATCCACAACTGGACAGCACAAGGTCTCTTTTGACTCTGTCATCTAAGCTTCCCAATAGGTGGAACTTTCTTACGTTTTCCAAGCCATGAGGGTTCCCCAGCTGCTGCAGGTCTTCCCACTCAGCTTTCCATCGGTAGTAATCCCTCATGTTACCTGAAAACGTAGGCAGACGTGCTCGTTCCAAAGTGATTTGGGGCTTGAAGCTTAGTGGCCCTGGGTATATGCTGTGAGCCCCTTGAGCGTGAAGCGCACCCTCACTGACAGAGGTGGGCGCGCTGGTTGGGTTACGCTGGGCTCCACTTATGGGAGTGTGGCTGTCTTGGGGACGGGACAGTTTATGGTCAGGAGCAGGAACAGAGCTAGTAGATGCTGATGGCTCCATGGTCTGGGCTGCCATATCTACGTTTACTTTTGCCTCTTCGTCATCAGACCAACTGTTACGTCGCCACGCCCATTTATCCCACAGTTTCATTTGCCGCTTTCTCAGCTTCCTGCATGAGCCTCTTGATTCCACGAGCTCTGCATGAGGAATTAAGTCTGACCACTCAGTCACTAAACTTTTTACTTCAAAGACTTCTCGTTCCAGGTCTTTGTTGATCAGCTCCCACTCCATCCTAGATAGCAGTTGATAGTCCTTTACTTCGGCCTGATCCAGGGCTAAGTTAGCCTCCTCTACAAGATCGGAAATTTGATCCTTTGCAAATCTAGTCCATAAGTTGTTTAGGACGAGGAGTTTAACAGCGTCAAACTTTTTATCACATTCGTGCGTTCGCTCGTCAATCTGATTCGCCTTTACACTGGCCTCTTCGTCTTCTAGTTCACGTAGGGCTGTGGAGTACTCAAATCCTAAATCTGTGACTCTGTTATGATCCTCTTTGAAGTTCCTCCACTCAGCCTTAAGATCCCCTTCTTCTAGAGCATTGACCCTGGAGGTAAGATTGTTTGCCTTTTTGGTGAACGCGGCCTGGGCTGCCGTACGCTTCTGCCGCAGCCTTTCCATCATCTCCTCATCTGCCATCTTGACAATTTGCTTTATCCTTTGAATTTGCTTTATTCTTTGAATTTGCTTTATTCTTTGAATTTGCTTTATTCTTTGAATTTGCTTTATTCTTTGAATTTGCTTTATTCTGTGAATTTGCTTTATTCTGGGAGGCCAGACCAGATTTATTGTCTTGGTCTTCAGGCTGTGTATTGGCATCAGAACCAGGCCACAAGTTTCACTGGTGGGCCACTGGTTTATGACTGTTCGGACTTTTTATGTTATAGCCCTCCGAAGGGGCTAACGGCAGGCAGCACACATGGCATGACTCGTGTTTGTCATACTTTGTTAATTTATTAGAACAAATGTTTGACCACAGGTCATAAACCTGGAAAGAATAAAGAAATAAACAATTACCACTAATTGTCCCTTTAAATTATTTGCCACTAAACTGAACATTGTTATTTGTAAATAAACATTTAGTACTTATTTACATGTAATACAGAATAAACATTTGTAAAGCAAACGAACACATTATCGCGCATTTCCCCGTGTAGCCGCGGCAAACCACCGAAAAACTACACTACCCAGCATGCCTGGCGCCGAGTGCGCCTGCGCTATGCGTGCCTCTGCTCTCTCATGTGTCAGCACGAACCAAAACAAACTATCGCACACATACAGCGCTCCACGCGTCTCTCCGCTACCACCCGTGCAGTCTACTGCTGCTACAGTCCACCTGTATCTGTGACTATGACCACGGTCACAGTGAGTGCTCTGGCTGCTGTGCGCTCTCACTAACTCACCCCACTACACCAGCACAAAGTGCCGCGGATGAGCCACACACACCGACCTAAACAATGCTGGTACATCGCTACGTTACTGCGCTGGGTGTTTTATGAGCTTTGTACATACCAACGGGCTGTGTGCTCCTGACGATGGCTTGGTTTGTCTGTTAATTGCATGTTACAGTCACAGGTGCGTTATGCAGAACTTAAAGATGCGTCACTGCGCCCGCCCATGAATGATAAATGTGAAGTAATCCATGAAAATAAATACTACTTTCCCCATATCCGTGACTATGCCCAAAGAACCAGACACCCATGGATCTATACGGGTCTGCACTGGTCTCTCCCATGGATCTATACGGGTCTGCACTGGTCTCTCCCATGGATCTATACGGGTCTGCACTGGTCTCTCCCATGGATCTATACGGGTCTGCACTGGTCTCTCCCATGGATCTATACGGGTCTGCACTGGTCTCTCCCATGGATCTATACGGGTCTGCACTGGTCTCTCCCATGGATCTATACGGGTCTGCACTGGTCTCTCCCATGGATCTATACGGGTCTGCACTGGTCTCTCCCGTGGATCTATACGGGTCTGCACTGGTCTCTCCCATGGATCTATACGGGTCTGCACTGGTCTCTCCCATGGATCTATACGGGTCTGCACTGGTCTCTCCCATGGATCTATACGGGTCTGCACTGGTCTCTCCCGTGGATCTATACGGGTCTGACTGGTCTCTCCCATGGATCTATACGGGTCTGCACTGGTCTCTCCCATGGATCTAGACTGGTCTGCACTGGTCTCTCCCATGGCTCTAGACGGGTCTGCACTGGTCTCTCCATACGGGTCCGTGCTGCATGCTCCTGGATCCATACGGGTCCGCGCTGGTCTCTGCGCACCGGTCTCTCCAGTCAGGTCACTCCAGTCTATGCGGTCTCTCCTATAGGTCCGCGCTGGTTTCTGTGTGCTGGTCACTCCAGTCTCTCCTTGAGTCTGCATTGGTCTCAGCGCTGGTCCGCGCTGGATCTCCTCCCAGGGTCCAAAATATTTTGAGATTAATCTCAAAACATTTTGAGATTCATCTTTAAAATAATACATACTATATTTTTTAATTAAGCTCATAACATTTTGAGATTAATCTCATCATATTCTTAGATTAATCTCATAATTTTGCTAGTTCAACTTTATTCTCATAATATTTCGACTTTTAAGTCAACATTTTATAACTTTATTCTCAGTCTGGCAAAAGAAGAAAAAAGGGTGACTCTTTTGCTCCGTGTAACTCTTTGCTTTAGGCCTGTTGCCGTTTCCTCTGCGTCTGCACACGGCCCTGCAGTCCCTTATATGGGCATTAGTGGGCGGTTACCTATGCTAAGTACCTATGCTAATTAATCACCGGGCACGCGCGCTCTACTTACGAGGAGTTGGCATTCATCAATCTGAGAGAACAGCTGCAAACAATTCAGCAGCTTAAGAGCGCGTTGATGAATCCCACGTAGGCTCTTCTTAGAAATCTACTTAAGAACGACTTGAGAAGAAATTTAAGAAGTTTCTTACGAAGTTATTCGTGAATGAGGCCCAATCTTCTTAGAGCCTGGGTAATGTACAACAAGCCCTCTGTTATCACAATATCTGAAACATGGCTCTCTTCTGCGATCTCTGAAAATGATATTTTTTGGACAACTACACACTGTACAGAGCAGACAGATTCTAGAGGAGGCGGTGTCGCCACTTACATTTCATCCAGTTTTCATACCATCTTTACATGAAGCCTGGGACTATTTTTATTCTGAGTTTTTAACTGTTATTAACAAACATGCACCTTTCAGAGAAATTAGGATGAAAGGAAACCATCTTCCCTGGGTGAATGGTGAACTGATGAGTCTGTACAGACGACGGGACAAGGCTTGGTCTAAATTTAAGGATTCAAAGCTCACTGCTGACTGGGACGAATACAGACGCCTGCGTAATATCTGCACCACACAAACGAGAAATGCTAGGTCTAACTATTTCAAAAACAGTTTAACAAATAACTTTAAAAACTAATGTAGATAATACAGCTTCAGCCCCTGTTACCTTCATATAAGCCTTATACAACGCTGTTTTTAGTTTTTTTGTCAAATGTGGCTCCTTGAACCTTTTGAGTTGCCTGGGCCGCTAAAAAGGTAAAAAGGCCCGGGCCGTTTTTTTTGTCCCAGTCCAGCCCTGTTTTCAAATGTATTTATCTCAGTTTTCCAGAATATCTAACACAATATCTGATTCCTTTCCAATCCTCGTACAGTTTGCATCATGCAAATCAATCTTTTTTTGTCGTCCCAAGAGTGAATAAAGAAGCTGGAAAACATGCATTTGAATTTAAAGCTCCGTCTGGAACAGTTTGCCGTTGTCCATTCGCTCTGACTTCTCTGCCTGTGTGTGTGTGTGTGTGTGTGTGTGTGTGTATGTGTATGTGTGTGTGTGTGTGTGTGTGTGTGTGTGTGTGATTGAGGGTTTATGTGTGTGTATTTTCTATGGTTGCTTTTTTTAAATTTTATTTTTTATTATTTTCTTGTATTTTTGTTTTGTTTGCTTCTGTTTTGCTGTATCTGGCACTTTGTGAAATCTCGAGGACCCCCTCGAAAATGAGATGGTTCATCTCAAGGGGCTTATCCTCTAAATCAGTGTCTCCCAAAGTGGGGTCCGCGGCCCCCTGGTGGGGGTACTAAGTCGGAGCTTAACCGAGTCGTGGTTGAGAGTGCCGTGGCTGGACAACGGAGAGTGGTGTTGGTGGAACAGTTGATAAAAGACCTCGCAGCTAGTTCACTCGAAGGGAACAAAACTCTGGAGCTGAGATTGAATGACATTGTGTGTCAGGCTTGAACTCTCTGACCCGGCTTGGATTTGCCCCTGTGTACGGAGGTCTGAGGGCACCGCAATTCGGATTAATTGGATTTAATAGAATATCTGCCTGTTTTTGACTGCGACATTGCATATAATATTGTCCCTCTCAGGCGATGTGTTTTTCTCCAGCTGTGTCTTCTCTCCACTCTTATCTCACATTCCTCGGCCAAGGCCATAATAACAAGCCCGGACTATCTACAACAACTCACACTATTCAGTCTTCTCCAGCTCGGATCCCTCCCCCGCCTCCCTCTACCTATTCATCTTGCTCCCTCCCTCCCCTCCACTCCTCATTGTGTTTCCGTCTCACCCCCTCCCTGACCCCGCCCCCCTCTGACAGCCACATTGGGCCGGCAGTCGGAGGTGCTCATCCCGAAAAAAAAATCCGTGGTTTATTCAAAGCACAATGTGTCCATCCAACTGTCTGTGTAATCTGTATGTTATTGCTCTCTGCTGTTTATTCTACTGTTTGTCGCATGGCGCCGTAAAGATGGCGCCGTGGCAAGAGCTCTGGTGTGTGTCGTCTTCTCTGTCTGGCGCACACCGGGGTAGTCTTGCACAGTTTTCCAATGTGGTTTTACTGCAAATGGCAAATAAATGAATCTGAATCTGAATCTGAATCTGCAGGGGGGCCGCGGGAGGTCATAAAAAAAATAAAAAAATAATATAATTATTTAATGTTAAATTTATATTGTTTTGTTTGTAATATTAAAATATTTGTGTTCATTATTTGACTTGAATAATCCACTGTAATCATTTTTGTATTACAATGTTTGTAGCAGAGGCTATTTCCCCAAAATAAAATAACCAGAAGAGCCTATACTTAATGTTGTCTTCTTGGTTATTATTTTGGGGGGCCACGCAGACCCGTCAGATTTTTAAGGGGGCCTCGGTGTTACTGAGTTTGGGAATGGCTGCTCTAAATAAATAAAATAGTCCTGGTTTAGTCCTGGTTTAGTCCTGGTTTTGTCCTGATTTGGTCCTGATTTGGTCCTGATTTGGTCCTGGTTTAGTCCTGGTTTAGTCCTGGTTTAGTCCTGGTTTAGTCCTGGTTTAGTCTTTGTTTAGTCCTGGTTTAGTCCTGGTTTAGTACTGGTTTAGTCCTGGTTTTGTGCTGGTTTTGTCCTGATTTAGTCCTGGTTTAGTCCTGGTTTAGTCCTGGTTTAGTCCTGGTTTAGTCTTTGTTTAGTCCTGGTTTAGTTCTGGTTTAGTCTTTGTTTAGTCCTGGTTTAGTTCTGGTTTAGTCTTTGTTTAGTCCTGGTTTAGTCTTTGTTTAGTCCTGGTTTAGTCCTGGTTTAGTTCTGGTTTAGTCTTTGTTTAGTCCTGGTTGAGCCCCGGACATTTAGTTTCTGCATTTCCATCAATAGAAGCCGCTTCTATAGCGAACTATCTGAATGACGTCTAAGACACGCCCCCGCCGCCTGTCAACTCCCGCCCACATGTTTCGGACAAACACTGCCAAAATGAATCAAATACCTCTTGTCACTTTAGACGAAAATGATAAACCAGGGGCAAAATTCCACCATCAAACCATCAGGGATCATAGTGTAGACCAATTAAAACGTTGGCTTGAATGTCGTGGTCTTCCAGTGACTGGTAGAAAGTTTGATTTGATAAAAAGGTAATGGTGAGGATTATGCTAACATTATCTAGTCATTTAAATTGCAATGTTAGCGCCTTCTTTGTTTATTTTGCTCTGATTAACTTCCATTTATCAAGTTGTTTTTTGTACTGTCCATTTCGTAATTAGTTTGATCATTTAGTTAACTACAGTCAGCCGATATTATAATAGATCCATGGGGTCACAACGGGCTACACCACTACTGTCTCTGAGAGAGAAACTATCGGAGCTAGCCACACTCAGTAAACGCAAACGACAATCAATCAACATATTTAAATGTTAATGCTAGAATATAATATTCATACAACACACGTGCACAGAGGTTTTCAGAATTATCTGTTAAGGTTTTCATGACAAAAATACTTTTTTAATGCGACTAAAGCGATCGCTTTTTTAAAGTAGGTGAACTAAAACCTTTGGGAACTATTTTCTTTGCACTCATTAAATAAACCTTTTGGCATGAATAGTGACAGAAGTTTATTTTGTGTGTTCAGTTGGTACAAAGCCGTATAATAAGCGGACCCCGACGCGCTTCGTCTGTGCTTATTTTCCGATAGTCACGAAGTTGAAAAAATCCCTCTCATCTTTCTTCAGGTGTGAGAATTGTATACATTCTGGATTAGGACAAACAATACTAATATGGATTGATGGGGCTAACTACATTCAGAAGAGCTCAGACGGACCTGATACAGCGGTCCAGATCCAGTCCCAGCTAAACGTAGCTAGGACTGGATCTGGAGGCTCCACAGTTGGTCCAGCGAAGTGTTTTGAAAAAACATGTCCTTTTTAACATTTTCATGAGAGAAATTCTGCTGACCACAAGCACCCACCTCTTGCACTTGTCCTGGTCTGGTCCTGGTCTGGTCCTGGTCTGGTTCGATGGTGTGGTTTAACGAACAGGTTGAATGTTACTGCTTTCATATAGTCCTTTTCAGAGTATCTGAAATCGCTCCCACAAGCACCATAACTGCAGTGTTTTGTTGTCACCATGATTCAATGATTTAGCCCAAATAAATACACACGCTTATGTGGAGAACACAGTAGTACTCAACGGAGTCGGACAGAGTTTGTCCGAAACATGCGCGCATGCGCAGTCATTGGAACTATTTTTAGCACATTTCGGAAACCGGACAGTGCCCTATAGGATCTTTGAGTGACGTCGTTGTTCACACATGGTACTTACTTTCTGGTCAATAACACAGACACATGAACACGTCACACATGGTACTTACTTTCTGGTCAGAAATGGTTGCGTTCAGAACAAAGCCTGGATTCCTGGTTAAAGCTTTATAGGAGGATTTTCCACATTTTAGGAAAGAACCGCCCTCTCCACTTTTTGAACAAAACGTGCACCAAATGATTGACAGTTAGGATTGATTGAATAATCTGTCAGAGAAGTGATGTCTGCACCAGAGCTTTATGCAGAGCTGATGAGGAACAGGTGTGAGCCCACACACCTGCTGCAGAGCCAGCCACGCCCCCAGTCACACACATGCCCTGAAACAAACAGAAAGGGAGGGGGGAGGCAGAACAAACCCAACAGTACCCCCCCTCAACAGACGCCACCTGGTCGTCCTCCCAGGCCAGCCAGGATGCAAGGCGTAGAAATCAGCCAGCAGAGCAGGGTCCAGGAACATGGAGCACGACAGGAACGGTCCTCTGGGCCATACCCCTCCCAATCCACCAAATATTAGAAACCCCGCCTACGACGGCGCACATCCAACACGCGCCGGACAGAGAAGGCAGGACCACCATCAACGATCCGGGGGGGAGGAGGGGGCTCGGCCGGAGGGCTGAAGGGACTCGAGGCCACCGGCTTGAGCAACAAAACGTGAAAAGCAGGGTGAACATTTAAAGACTGGGGCAACTTCAGCCTCACCACCGCAGGATTAATAACTCTGTCGATCTCGTAAGGACCAACATATCTCGGGGCCGGCTTACGGGACTCAACCTGGAGGGGCAGATCCCTGGTCGAAAGCCACACCTTCTCACCAGGCTTGTAGTCCGGGGCCGCAGAACGCCGGCGGTCAGCAACACTCCGGTTCCGAGCTGCAGTCCGAGACAGAGCGGCCCTGACCTTGACCCACACCCGCCTGGCTCTGCGCAGATGGTGCTGCACCGACGGAACAGTCACCATTGTTTCCTGGGATGGAAAAACGGGGGGCTGAAAACCGTTAGCGGCCATGAATGGAGACATACCCGTAGCAGACGAGACCAATGAGTTGTGGGAGTACTCGATCCACGGAAGGTGAGTCGACCAGGAAGCTGGGAAACGTGCCGTGACACAACGCGTAGCCGCCTCAAGGTCCTGATTTGCACGCTCCGTCTGGCCATTAGTCTGCGGATGGTATCCAGAGGACAGGCTTGCAGATGCTCCCAAGGCCCTACAAAAAGCCTTCCAAACCCGAGAAGCAAACTGGGGGCCTCGATCGGAAACAATGTCCTGGGGTATTCCATGCAACCGGAAGACATGCTGGACAAGCAAGTTGGCTGTCTCAAGAGCAGAAGGAAGTTTAGGCAACGGGATGAAATGTACACATTTTGAAAATCTGTCAACCACAGACAGAATGGTGGTGTTACCCCCAGAAGGCGGCAGGCCGGTAACAAAATCCACCGCTATATGGGACCAAGGACGATGAGGAATGGGTAGTGGGCGGAGCAAGCCAGCTGGAGATCTGTGAGACGCCTTGCTGCGGGCACAAACAGAGCAGGCAGAAACATATTCCTTGGCATCAGAGGAAATGGACGGCCACCAGAAGCGCTGACGAACAAGGGCCAGAGTGCGGTGAAATCCAGGGTGGCAGGCCAACCTCGAGTCATGGCCCCACTGAAGCACACTGGACCGAGCGGAGGGGGGAACAAACAGCAGCCCAGGAGGACAAGCCTCAGGCGTGGGATGACCGACCTGGGCCTCCTGAACAACTTTCTCCACCTCCCAACTGGCAGCACCGACCACACAATTGGGTAAGATGGTTTCCTCACCCTTACCCTCAAAAGGAGTGGAAAACCGGCTCGAGAGAACATCAGGCTTCGTGTTCCTGGAACCTGGACGGTAGGTAAGGGTGAAGTTAAACCTTCCCAGAAAAAGTGCTCATCGTGCCTGGCGAGAGTTCAACCTGCCTCAGTCTCTGCCTCAGTCTCTGCCTCAGTCTCTGCTTCAGTCTCTGCTTCACTCTCTGCTTCAGTCTCTGCTTCAGTCTCTGCTTCAGTCTCTGCCTCAGTCTCTGCTTCAGTCTCTGCTTCAGTCTCTGCCTCAGTCTCTGCCTCAGTCTCTGCTTCAGTCTCTGCTTCAGTCTCTGCTTCAGTCTCTGCCTCAGTCTCTGCCTCAGTCTCTGCCTCAGTCTCTGCCTCAGTCTCTGCTTCAGTCTCTGCTTCAGTTTCTGCTTCAGTCTCTGCCTCAGTCTCTGCTTCAGTCTCTGCTTCAGTCTCTGCTTCAGTCTCTGCGTCTCCACTCGTGCTGCAGTCTCTTCAGGTCGAGTCTAAACTTAGCTCAGGTCTTTGGTCTCACATGTGTTCAGTCAGAAAACATTCTCAAGCTGCACATGTTTATTATGATACAATCTACCTACTTTAGACCTGCTTTAGTCCTGCTTTAGTCCTGCTTTAGACCTGCTTTAGACCTGCTTTAGTCCTGCTTTAGACCTGCTTTAGTCCTACTTTAGTCCTGCTTTAGACCTGCTTTAGTCCTGCTTTAGTCCTGCTTCAGACCTGCTTTAGTCCTGCTTTAGTCCTGCTTCAGACCTGCTTCAGACCTGCTTTAGTCCTGCTTCAGACCTGCTTTAGTCCTGCTTCAGACCTGCTTTAGTCCTGCTTCAGACCTGCTTTAGTCCTGCTTCAGACCTGCTTTAGTCCTGCTTTAGTAAGTAAGTGTTTTTATTTATATACCGCCTTTTCACTGCAGATCTGAGTCTCAAAGCGGTTTACAATTGTTAATTTTTGGGCATTAGTCTCTCACTCCACACAGAGATGGGAGCGGGGCCAGTACAGGAGGCACATGCCAGAACTATTGGACATATTTTTAGTGGTAGGGGAAACCGGAGTACCCGGAGGAAACCTACGCAGACACGGGGAGAACATGCAAACTCCACTCAGAAAGGCCCTGGTCCGACCGGGATTTGAACCCAGGACCTTCTTGCTGAGAGGCGAGAGTGCTATCCACTCAGCCACCGTGCCGTGGCTGAGTGGATAGCACTGCTTTAGACCTGCTTTAGTCCTGCTTTAGACCTGCTTTAGACCTGCTTTAGACCTGCTTTAGACCTGCTTTAGACCTGCTTTAGACCTGCTTTAGACCTGCTTTAGACCTGCTTTAGACCTGCTTTAGACCTACTTTAGACCTGCTTTAGACCTGCTTTAGACCTGCTTTAGTCCTGCTTTAGACCTGCTTTAGACCTGCTTTAGTCCTGCTTTAGACCTGCTTTAGTCCTGCTTTAGACCTGCTTTAGACCTGCTTTAGACCTGCTTTAGACCTGCTTTAGACCTGCTTTAGTCCTGCTTTAGTCCTGCTTTAGAGCTGGCTCTCTGCTGCCCTCTTGTGGCGGTGGACGGTCACTGCACTTCTTCTTCAAACACATTTATTATGGAAAGTGTGATGTTTTTGGTCTTAAATCATTTATAAACATTAAAAAAGAGTTTATATCAAATTAAATACATTAAAAGTATTTGTCCTGGTTTTGTCCTGGTTTTGTCCTGGTTTTGTCCTGGTGCAGAATGATTTCTCTGGTTTCAGCTTCCAAACATGTTCGGGAACATCCGCTCCACCGTCCTGTCCCTGATGATCGGCTCCTACGCCTCCTCCGCCGTCACCTTCCCCGGGGTCAAGGTCAGTCCTGGTTTAGTCCTGGTTTAGTCCTGGTTTAGATTTGATTCATTCCTACTATGGTTCTAGTTCTGGTCCTGACCTGATACTGTAGTCCTGGACCAGTCCTGGATTAGACTCTCAAGGAAAGTCTAACCCTAGTCCTGCTTTAGACCTGGTTTAGTCCTTTTTAGACCTGTTTATTTTTAGTCTGGCTTGAGACTTTTTACTTTTCTTTTTCCTTGTACCTAACTCTTACCTACTCCCACCTGGTCCTGGTCCTGGTCCTGGTCCTGCAGCTGATCTACGACGCTGGTGTGTCCTTCACGGTCATCATGTGGACCTGGTCTGGACTCGCTGCTCTGGTCTTTGTCAACTGCTTCATCAACTGGCCCCGAGAGTCTTTCCCTGGTCCAGAAGATCCACTCTACACGTCAGTTCTGGTCTCTCTCTGGTCTCTCTCTGGTCTCTCTCTGGTCTCTCTCTCTGGTCTCTCTCTATGGTCTCTCTCTGGTCTCTCTCTGGTCTCTCTCTGGTCTCTCTCTATGGTCTCTCTCTGGTCTCTCTCTGGTCTCTCTCTCTGGTCTCTCTATGGTCTTTCTCTGGTCTCTCTCTATGGTCTCTCTCTGGTCTCTCTATGGTCTCTCTCTGGTCTCTCTATGGTCTTTCTCTGGTCTCTCTGGTCTCTCTCTGGTCTCTCTCTCTGGTCTCTCTCTATGGTCTCTCTCTGGTCTCTCTCTGGTCTCTCTCTCTGGTCTCTCTCTATGGTCTCTCTCTGGTCTTTATCCGGTCTCTCTCTGGTCTCTCTATGGTCTCTCTCTGGTCTCTCTATGGTCTTTCTCTGGTCTCTCTGGTCTCTCTCTGGTCTCTCTCTCTGGTCTCTCTCTATGGTCTTTCTCTGGTCTCTCTGATGGTTCTTTGTGTTTGCAGTAAAGCAGTGATTAAGGACGTGACCATGATGGAGGACAGTGCGGCGTCCAGCGAAAAAGAGGAGAGCGAGGACCAGCAGGAGTCTTCCCAGAGTGAGGCTTTAGAGAGAGAGAGAGACCAGAGAGAGAGAGACCCAAGAAAGATCAAGGAGAGAGACCTGAGAGGGATACCAAAGAGAGATCAGAGAGAGACCAGAGAGAGACCAGAGAGAGGGAGACCAGAGATAGACCAGAGATAGACCAGAGAGAGACCAGAGAGACCAGAGAGACCAGAGAGAAACCAGAGAGAGACCAGAGACAGACCAAAGACAGACCAGAGAGAGACCAGAGAGAGACCAGAGAGAGACCAGAGAGAGACAGAGATAAAGAGGCAGTAATGGACTTCAATGACTCTTGTTGGGTCTGTTGCTGTCTTTGGGGGATCTCCAGTGGTCTCCCATCCCAGCCCTGCCCCAGCCCCACCCTCTGCTCACACCTGGTCTTCCTGTGTCCAGACTCGGTCCCTCTGTGTCGCTCCATCTGCTCCCCCATCCTCCTCTGGAGCCTCATCACCATGGCGATGACTCAGCTCCGCCTCATCTTCTTCATGGGCGCCATGAACAAGATGGTGGAGTTCCTGGTCACACATGGAGAGAGTAAGTCACTGTCCCTTTCTGGTCTCTCTTTCTGTTCTCTCTCTGGTTTCTCCCTGGTCTCTCTCTGGTCTCTCTCTGGTCTCTTTCTGGTCTCCTCTGGTCTCTCTCTCTCTCTCTCTGGTCTCTCTTTCTGTTCTCTCTCTGGTTTCTCCCTGGTCTCTCTCTGGTCTCTCTCTGGTCTCTTTCTGGTCTCCTCTGGTCTCTCTCTCTCTCTCTCTCTGGTCTCTCTCTCTGGTCTCTCTCTCTAGTCTCTCTGGTTTCTCCCTGGTCTCTCTCTGGTCTCTCTCTCTGGTCTCTCTCTGGTCTCTCTCTGGTCTCTCTCTGGTCTCTCTCTCTGGTCTCTCTCTGGTCTCTCTCTGGTCTCTTTCTGGTCTCTCTCTGGTCTCTCTCTCTAGTCTCTCTCTGGTCTCTCTCTGGTCTCTCTCTGGTCTCTCTCTGGTTTCTTTCTGGTCTCTCTCTGGTCTCTCTCTGGTTTCTCTCTGGTCTCTTTCTGGTCTCCTCTGGTGTCTCTCTCTCTCTCTCTCTCTCTCTCTCACTGGTCTCTCTCTGGTCTCTCTCTAGTCTCTCTGGTTTCTCCCTGGTCTCTCTCTGGTCTCTCTCTCTGGTCTCTCTCTGGTCTCTCTCTAGTCTCTCTGGTTTCTTCCTGGTCTCTCTCTGGTCTCTCTCTCTGGTCTCTCTCTGGTCTCTCTCTGGTCTCTCTCTGGTCTCTCTCTGGTCTCTCTCTGGTCTCTCTCTGGTCTCTCGCTCTGGTCTCTCTCTGGTCTCTCTCTGGTCTCTCTCTGGTCTCTCTCTGGTCTCTCTCTGGTCTCTCTCTGGTCTCTCTCTGGTCTCTCTCTGGTCTCTCTCTGGTCTCTCGCTCTGGTCTCTCTCTGGTCTCTCTCTGGTCTCTCTCTCTGGTCTCTCTCTGGTCTCTCTCTGGTCTCTCTCTGGTCCCTCTCTGGTCTCTCTCTGGTCTCTCTCTGGTCTCTGAACAATTTGAATAATAATAATAATATATATTTGTAACTTTTGTATTTCAGCTTCAGAAGATCTTCTAAAAGAGGCAGAGGTCCAAGGTTAGTGTCAGACCTGCAGAAGGTTTTGGCTCCATCCCTGTCCAAACTCAGGCCCGTGGGCCAATCACGGCCCTCTGCTGCCCACACAGTCACCATAGAGACAGAATCCAGTCCATCCAGCTCCAATCCAGGTTTCACATCCAGGCTGTCGGCCCCGGGTCAAGTCTGAGGAACTAAAGTGGCCTCTGACTGAAAAGTTTGGACACCCCCGTTTCAGCTCCGTCCTGATCTACAGCACTAACACCCCCCACCCTTCTGTCTATATGTCCTGTATTCAAACTGCCTCACCAAGACAAATCTCCAGTGTGTGTGTGTGTGTGTGTGTGCGTGTGTCTCTCTGTGTGTGTATCTCTGTGTGTGTGTGTGTGTGTGTGTGTGTGTCTCTGTGTGTGTGTATCTCTGTGTCTGTGTGTGTGTGTGTGTGTGTGTGTTTGTATCTCTCTGTGTGTGTGTATCTCTGTGTCTGTGTGTGTGTGTGTGTGTGTGTTTGTATCTCTGTGTGTGTGTGTGTGTGGGTTTGTATCTCTCTGTGTGTGTATCTCTGTGTGTGTGTATGTGTCTCTCTCTCTCTGTGTGTGTGTCTCTCTCTCTGTGTGTGTCTCTCTGTGTGCGTGTGTCTCTCTCTCTCTGTGTGTGTCTCTCTCTCGGTGTGTGTCTCTCTCTCTGTGTGTGTGTGTCTCTGTCTCTGTGTGTGTGTGTCTCTGTCTCTGTGTGTGTCTCTCTGTGTGTGTCTGCGTTGTCTGTGTCAGCAAACCACAGATTTCAGCCCAAAATGGTGAGTGCTACACAAACGTTACTGAGCGAGGGACACGGGAGTCAATAGGAGCCAAACTTCACCATGAGCACTTCCCTTTCGGGCTACACTGAGCTAGCGTGGTAGCATTGTGTGTGTTAGCATTGTGTGTGTTGCAGTGAGCTTGTACTCGTCTGTGTTCGGAGCGATGCAGCTGCTGTGTCTGCTCACCTGTCCTCTGATCGGATACATCATGGACTGGAGGATGAAGGAGTGTGTGGACCTCGACACACACAAGAGGTGAGGGTGTGTGTCTGTGTGTGTCTGTGTGTGTGTGTGTGTGTGTGTGTGTCTGTGTGTGTGTGTGTGTGTGTGTGTGTCTGTGTGTGTGTGTGTGTGTCTGTGTGTCTGTGTGTGTGTGTGTGTGTGTGTGTGTGTGTGTGTGTGTGTGTGTGTGTGTGTGTGTGTGTGTGTGTGTGTGTGTGTGTGTGTGTGTGTGTGTCTGTGTCTGTGTCTGTGTGTGTGTGTGTGTGTCTGTGTCTGTGTCTGTGTGTGTGTGTCTGTGTGTGTGCCTGTGTCTGTGTGTCTGTGTGTGTGCCTGTGTCTGTGTGTGTGTGTGTGTGTGTGTGTGTGTGTGTGTGTGTGTGTGTGTGTGTGTGTGTGTGTCTGTGTGTGTGTGTCTGTGTCTGTGTCTGTGTCTGTGTGTGTGTGTCTGTGTGTGTGTGTGTGTGTGTGTCTGTGTCTGTGTGTGTCTGTCTGTGTCTGTGTGTGTGTGTGTGTGTGTGTGTGTGTGTGTGTGTGTGTGTCTGTGTCTGTGTGTGTGTGTGTGTGTGTGTGTGTGTGTGTGTGTCTGTGTCTGTGTCTGTGTCTGTGTGTGTGTGTGTGTGTGTGTGTGTGTGTGTGTGTGTGTGTGTGTGTGTGTGTGTGTGTGTGTGTGTGTGTGTGTGTCTGTGTGTGTGTGTATGTGTCTGTGTGTGTCTGTGTGTGTGTGTGTGTGTGTGTGTGTCTGTTTGTCTTTGTGTGTGTCTGTCTGTCTGTGTGTGTGTCTGTGTCTGTGTCTGTGTCTGTGTGTGTGTGTCTGTGTGTGTGTGTGTGTGTGTGTCTGTGTCTGTGTGTGTCTGTCTGTGTCTGTGTGTGTGTGTGTGTGTGTGTGTGTGTGTCTGTGTGTCTGTGTCTGTGTGTGTGTGTGTGTGTGTGTGTGTGTGTCTGTATGTGTCTGTGTCTGTGTCTGTGTCTGTGTGTGTGTGTGTGTGTGTGTGTGTGTGTATGTGTCTGTGTGTGTGTGTGTGTGTGTGTGTGTGTGTGTGTGTGTGTGTGTGCACTTGTTTTCAACTCCTGGTGGGTTCCATAACCTGAGATTCCACTCACGTCATGGGGACTGGTTTTACGTGGTGGGGCCCGAACACCGGACCCCACTGGTCCAAGCTTAATAATCAATGGGTAATGCTTTTCTAACGGTCCTTATGCAGTCTCTGTAAAAATATGGAAAGGACCCCTGGAGGTTTACTTTCCTGAAAAAAGTGTGTTATGTGTCGGAACCCTGGTGGTGGGTTGCGGGATATCAAGGAGGGGCACACTGGGGCAATTTCAGTCCAGCAGGCTGGAGCCAATCATGGAGCAGCACAACAGAGGAAATCAGGTGTCAGGCTAGAAAAGGTGCAAGTGTGTGGTTCATTAGGCTGCAAGAAATCATGGAGGAGCACACTGAAGCGCACGCTTACAAACCACTGGTAAGTGCTGACTACAAGTCATGACTTCAAATTGTTATATAGAATGATTACAAATTATTTGTTGTTTGTGCAGCTTAGTCAAGAGTCCCTAATTGATGAAGTCGACTCAGATTCTGACGATTTAACTGTCAAGAAGAAACCTGTAAAAAAGTATGGAAAAAGAAAAATCAAAGACACTTTTCTTCAAGACTCGGAAAGTGACGAACCAAAGGCAAATAAGATTGTTATCATGCAGCTGCAAAAGAAGAAAAATGGGGGGCGAGTTTACAGCAAGAGACACTTCTGCCTCTACTGTTCAATGTCCTGCCACAAAATGTCCCGTCATTTGACTAGAAAACATGGAAATGAAAGTGACGTAGCCAGAGCATTGGCTCTACCTGTGAAATCTAAAGCACGTAAACTTCAGTTTGATTTGATCAGGAATAGTGGAAACCGTGAGCACAATTTTGAGGTTTTAAAGGCCGGCATTGGAACTTTAGTCCCAGCTAAACAGCCAAATTCCCCAGTTAAATCCAGTGAGTTTTTGCACTGTATAGACTGTGGGGCATTGCTTAAGCGAAAGTGGCTGTGGAGGCATGTGGCCAGGTGCCGGCTTTCACAGAAAGATGCCCAGGCTAAACCAGGTAGAAGTAGGGTCCAGTCCCTCTGCTCCCTAGCCCAGCCTGTACCAGAGGGCATCAGCAAAAAGCTGTGGTCTTTAATTTCGGCAATGCATCAGGATGAGGTCACGGGTGTTGTCAAAGCAGAAAAGGGGATTCTGAGACTCGGAGAGCACCTGTACTTAAAACACGGGCATGATAAGACTAAGCATGATTACATTAGGCAGAAAATGAGAGAAGGTTAGGTTAATTAACGAAGCAAAAACCGCAGGGAAACTGAAAACAATGAAGGATTTCTTTATTCCTTCCAACTTTAACCATGTGATTGATGCAGTCAGGTCTGTGGCTGGATATGATGAGGAAACAAATCAATACAAGACTCCATCCTTGGCCCTCAAACTCGGCCATAGCCTCAGAAAGCAGATATTCTTGAATGTGACTCAAAAATGGAGCATTGTGTTGATGAACTATTTATTAAAAACCTCCAACGAAGCCGGCTGCTTTTTGAGAAGAGGTGGGACGTCTGTGTTTCTTCTGCTGCCCTACAGACCCTCCGGCAAGCCAAGTGGAACACTCCGGACCTGCTCCCTCTGACTGAGGACGTTAGAGCCATGCATGCACATATTGAGGTATGTCGACCTGAATATGTGCAAACCCTAATAAGTGAGCCAACGTCTAAGCATTGGTCTAAACTGGCAGTTTTGACTCTTTGTGAGGTCATCATTTTCAATCGAAGAAGGGAAGGTGAGGTTTCAAAGATGCCACTGACAGCCTTTACCTTAAGAAGTAAGACTGGGATCCATTCTGACATTGCTCTGGGACTGTCCCAACTTGAGAAAAAGCTGTGTCAGCATTTTCAACGCATTGAAATTAAAGGGAAAAGAAGTCGGAAAGTGCCGGTTCTTTTGACTCCTGAAATGATTGCTTCGATGGAGGTGCTGGTGGAGAACAGAAGGGCCTGTTCCATCTCTGACCATAACCCATACTTCTTTTCCCGCCCGGGCGCAGACACCCACATCAGGGGATCAGACTCCCTACGCCAGGTAGCCAAAGAATGTGGTGCGGTGCATCCAGAGATGCTATCCTCAACCAAACTTAGAAAGCACATAGCTACTATGTCTACAGTTCTCAATATGAAAGAGAATGAGATGGACATACTTGCCAACTTCCTCGGCCATGACATTCGCATCCACAGGCAATATTACAGACTACCAGAGGGGACACTGGAGCTGGCCAAAATCAGCAAAGTGTTGATGGCCATGGAGCAGGGAAGAGTGACGGAATTCGAAGGAAAGAGCCTCGACCAGATACAAATTGAGCCTGAAGGTAATTCTTGATATTATTAAAATATGTATGATTTTTTTCCCCTAAAGGCCACTTGTATTTTTATTTTCTGTGCGACAGGGAGAGCAGTAGAGATCCTCTCACAAACGGACGGGCTAAAAGAAACTTCAAGCGGAGAACCTTCAACCATTCATCCAGATGCACCCCATGGTAGTGGCAGTGCCCCTTCTGGTAAGTGTACCAGGTGGGGGATTACAGCCAGGCTGCTTGGTCCTAACCCTGGGAGTGTATATTGCTAATATATTTTTATTTCTCTCCCTAGAACGTTAGAGAAAGCCATGGTCTGCATCTGAGGTGAAGGCTGTGGAGAAGACCATGACACCTTTCATACAGACTGGAAAGGTCCCTGGGAAGTCTCACTGCCTGGCCTGGCCTGGCCTGGCCTGGCCTGCATTAATGCCTCACCAGATGACCTTAGACATCGGACATGGAGTGGCATTAAATTCTATGTCAAAAATAGAATCACTGCAATTCGAAAACAAAATCTAAAATAAAATTCCTTTAAAATAGTTGTTTGGTTTCTATTGACTGTTTTGTATTACTTAAAGTAGTCCCAGTAAAAAAAGATTATGTCTATGGGTCCCATTCTGAACGGCCCTGTCAAAGGGACCCACCAGGTAACACAAACGTGTATGTGTGTGTCTGTGTGTGTGTCTGTTTGTCTTTGTGTGTCTGTCTGTCTGTCTGTGTCTGTGTCTGTGTATATGTGTCTCTCTCTTTTAATGTGTGTGTGTGTGTGTCTGTGTGTCTGTGTGTGTGTGTGTGTGTCTGTGTGTGTGTCATGTGTGCATTAATCATGACTTTTCTTCTCCAGCCAATCAGACGGTCCGAAGCATGACCGTAAGATCCAGAAGCTGACCAATGCCATGCGAGCGTTCGTCTTCACCAACCTGCTGCTCGTGACGTTCGGAGTCCTCTCCCTCATCGACAACCTGCCGCTTCAGGTCTGCGCAGTTTCAGAGGCTGCTAACACGCTAACTCAATACTAACCCATTAGCTCAATGCTAACCTACCAGCTCAATGCTAACACGCTAACTCAATGCTAACCTACCAGCTCAATGCTAACACGCTAGCTCAATGCTAACCTACCAGCTCAATGCTAACCTACCAGCTCAATGCTAACACGCTAGCTCAATGCTAACCTACCAGCTCAATGCTAACAGCTCAATGCTAACCTACCAGCTCAATGCTAACACGCTAGCTCAATGCTAACCTACCAGCTCAATGCTAACACGCTAGCTCAATGCTAACACGCTAGCTCAATGCTAACCCACTAGCTCAATGCTAACCCCCCTAAGTTGTTGCTACCCACAGACTATGCATACATTTAGCTCATAATAATGTCGTAGTTGCGCACGTTACAGCAGAATAACAATTGTGAAATTATCTTTGTAAATCCAGACATGAGCCAAATAAGGATTGACCAATCAGATGCCTTCATTCGCAGGGAAACTCCAGCTTGCCTTAGCAACTGTCTTAGCAACACGTCTGCCTCTACTACGCTGTCGGAACAAACGGCCATATAAGAAACTTGACTCTAGCTAGCTTATGTTCAAATGGGCCTCTTTTGCATTCATGCTAACAGTGTTGTGATGTCACACGGTGGTGATGTCACACTCTTTGGTGCAGATGGTGTCGTACGTCCTGCACACTGTGGTCAGAGGCTTCATCCACTCGTGCTGCGGAGGTCTCTACGCTGCTGTGTGAGTATGAAGACATTCACCCTGAACCAGAGCGGGAAACAACGGTGTATTTGAAACGAGGCTCTAGAGTTCAGAGAGAGAGAGAGAGAGAGAGAGAGAAGAGAGAGAAGCGAGAGAGACCAGAGAGAGAAGAGAGAGAGACCAGAGAGAGACCAGAGAGAGAGACCATAGAGAGAGAAGAGAGAGAGGCCAGAGAGAGAAGAGAGAGAGACCAGAGAGAGACCATAGAGAGAGAGACCAGAGAGAGACCAGAGAGAGACCAGAGAGGGAAGAGAGAGAGGCCAGAGAGATCCAGAGTATCGTCCCTATAAAGCTGATGGTTTGTGGTTCTGAAAACGCTTTTGACCCGGGTTCTTGAGTGGAATGATCTCAAAACCCTGCAAAAGCCGTTCCATGGTTACTGTCTCTCTCTGTGACTGTCTCCGTGGTTACCACTTCCTGATGTGATAATCTCCTTGGTTACTGTTTCTTGTTGTGCCTGTCTCCATGGTTACTGTCTCTTGTTATGGCTTTCTCCATAGTTACTGTCTCATGTTGTGGCTGTCTCCATGGTTACTGTCTCTTGTTGTGCCTGTCTCCATGGTTACTGTCTCTTGTTATGGCTGTCTCCATAGTTACTGTCTCTTGTTATGGCTGTCTCCATGATTACTGTCTCTTGTTGTGCCTGTCTCCATGGTTACTGTCTCTTGGTATGACTGTCTCCATAGTTACTGTCTTCTGGTGTGACTGTCTCCATTGTTATTGTCTCCATGGTTACTGTCTCTCTGTGTGATTGACAGATACCCAGCGAACCACTTTGGGACTCTGACAGGGATGCAGTCGATGGCGAGTGCGGCGTTCGCTCTGCTGCAGCAGCCGCTGTTCATGCTGATGGTGGGAGAGCTGCGAGGAGATCCATACTGGGTACACACTTTATACACACACACACTTACACGTGTATCAAACACATCAGAATCATTCTCTCGCTCTCTCCCTTTCTCTCTCTCTCTCTCTGTCTCTCTCTCTCTCTCTCCCTCTCTTTCTCCCTCTCTCTGTCTCTCTCTCTCTCCCTCTTTCTCCCTCTCTCTGTCTCTCTCTCTCTCTCTCCCTCTCTCTCTCTCTCCAGATAAACCTGTCGCTGCTCATCGTCTCTCTGTCCGGCTTCCTGTTGCCGGGTTACCTCTTCTACCACCGTCGAAACCTCATCCGCGCACAGGCCCCGCCCCACAGGAACACTGAGGACCAATCAGAGCCTGCCGCCAGCCCTCTGCACCAGTCACAGCAGCCGGCCAAACCTCCGAAAGGCTACGGGAACAACAACGTGATCTGAGCAGGAGAACGATGACCTGATGGACTGGTTTTGGAAATGTACCTGGACTTTTTCGGGTTCTTGGTGCACCTCTTTCATAAGAGGATGGTCTCCCTGGGTTTCCTCTAACGCACAATCTGAAGAAATGAAACGCAGACAGTGGCGGCTCTGTGCAGCTGTATCACCTCAAAAAAATCCAAGAAGAGTCAATCTCCCTTTAAGGTTCAACCAAACAGACGGAGGAAGTCCCAAACCTCCCTCATCCCCACAGAGCAAACACAGAACGACCCGGCCTTTAACCCACCTTGTGACCTCGTCTTTATCCCCAGAGGTTTTCAAACACAGCTGTGGACAATACTTCTGATAATGACAGCGTAACGAGCCGTGGAGCTGTGTTTGGGTGAGTGAAGCTCTCACCGACAGAGTTTGGAAAATGTCTGTAATGCTCATGTGAATCTCGCTGTTGTGCATTAGAATGTTATTCTCTCTGGTCTCTCTCTGGTCTCTTGCTGGTCTCTCTCCCCTTTAGTCTCCTTCTCCCTGGTCTCTCTCTGATCTCTCTCTCTGGTCTCTCTCTCTGGTCTCTCTCTCTGGTCCAGGATGCACTGTGCACCAACTTCTGAAGACTTATTGTAGAAGCTTGTTTGACTCGTTCCTGTATCTTCCCCGTGGTGAAAAGCTGACATGGGTCCAAACAACACGCCAATCTTTACCGCTCTTGTTCCGGGTCCACAGCATTTCAACACAGGTCCAAAAACACCTTCCTGACCAAGGCCATGGTTAAGCACCGCCTCTGCCGGTCATCCAGGTTTCATAGAACCGTAGTTACACCCGTAACTCTCAGCTTCGATTGTCTCGCGTTGGATTAGCTGTAATTCCATGTGCAACCAGTAGATGGCAGCAGAGGCCCCCACACACGCACACTTCTGTTCAAAGGTGACGTCCGTGATTGTATTTCTTGTTTCAAAGAATGCATATATGTGGCTGCGATTGTATATAAGAAATTCAGAAATATTTATGAACAATGGCGAGGCTAAACCAATGGTTTCTCTCTGTGTGTGGAGTTTGCATGTTCTCCCTATGTCCGGTTTCACCAAGCCTTAAAACTTGACGTTCACTTTAGGGGCCAAAACTCGAACAGAATTTTTCTAATACCACTTTTTGATAACTGCTGTAAGTAAACAGTGTGTTGCTATGGTAACCCATATCCAGCACTTTGGTGGAAAAGGGTAAAATGTTTGTTATTTAAAGCTGAGGTACCTAACTCTGTCCATGAATATTATTAAACATTAGTAGTTATTTTTTGCCCTTTGAGTCAATCTTTAACCTACTCTACTCTACTCTACTCTACTCTGCTCTACTCTACTCTACTCTACTCTACCCTACTCTACTCTACCCTTCTCTACTCTACTCTACCCTACTCTACTCTACCCTACTCTACTCTACTCTACTCTACTCTTCCCTACCCCACTCTACTCTACCCTACTCTTCCCTACCCCACTCTACTCTACCCTACCCTACTCTACTCTACCCTACTCTTCCCTACCCCACTCTACTCTACCCTACCCTACTCTACTCTACCCTACTCTACTCTACTCTACCCTACTCTACCCTACTCTACTCTACTCTACCCCACTCTACCCTACTCTACTCTACCCTACACTACTCTACTCTACTCTACTCTACTCTACCCTACTCTACTCTACCCTACTCTACCCTACTCTACTCTACTCTACTCTACTCTACTCTGTCCTACACTACCCCACTCTACCCTACCCTACGCTATACTCTCCTTTGATTGAAAGTGTTTCCTGGTCCTGTGTAACAGTACCAGGTCCTACTTTAGTCCCTCTTGGTCCTGGTTCTATCTGGCCGAGCTGGTGCTAAAGTGTTCTAACTGACAGTGATTGGCCAGAGCGCTGCTGGAAGCCATGTTTACCAAGGAATTTCCCCAGATATTGATATTGCATTTTTATGTGGTTTGAAAATTACGTACCCCAGATTTAAATTTGGCAAAAAAATGTAAGTCCATATTTGTCTGTTTTATCTTTCATTTATTTGGGAAAAGCCCTTATTCATAGAACCATGGTTCGCTCTGTAACTGTCGGAGCCACGCTGTCAACGTACTTTTGTTTTTTTGTTTTTTCGGGTTATTGCACTTTGAACGTACTATTACTGAGTGGATGTAACCGTGTGAGTGCTGCAGGTCGCTCCTGGTGGCTGTTTGATGCTTGAATATTGTCTTTTTTGGTGTAAATTATTAACCAATGTGAAGAAATGTGCCTTAAAGAGAGAGCTGTGTAAAAGTGACTGTTGTGTAAAATTAAAAAGACAAGTGAAATGTCCGTTTTTTGTGCATTATTAATCCGTCACATTTGGGAAGAATTTCACCAAAACAAAGAGATTGAGCGGCTTTGTCTGTATTTAGGTCATCCATACAATAATCTGTTGTGGACGGTTTGGCCTCTGCCTTTGCTGTGTGTGAGTGCCACAGGACGGAGAGCTGGTGATGTGTGGGTGAACCCTGTGGCACAGTTCATACACAGAGAAACTTAAAGTGCAGAACAAAACAAGGCATTAAAATCATAAATTATCACATTGAAAAGAGTGGAGATAATTAATAATTGTATGCACAGCTAAACAGAAGTGTAGAGTAGCAAAGTGGAGAGACCATAGCGAGATGAACAGAGAGTGAGGGACCAGAGAGATGCGGAATTTTGGCCCACTCTTCCAGACTGAATTGATTAAAACCCAGTCAAGTTTGTGGGTCTTCTTGCTCCTGTCTCTGCTTCAGTCTCTGCTTCAGTCACTGCCTCAGTCTCTGCGTCAGTCTCTGCCTCAGTCTCTGCCTCAGTCTCTGCTTCAGTCTCTGCTTCAGTCTCTGCTTCAGTCTCTGCCTCAGTCTCTGCTTCAGTCTCTGCTTCAGTCTCTGCCTCAGTCACTGCTTCAGTCTCTGCCTCAGTCTCTGCTTCAGTCTCTGCTTCAGTCACTGCTTCAGTCTCTGCCGCAGTCTCTGCTTCAGTCACTGCTTCAGTCTCTGCCTCAGTCACTGCTTCAGTCTCTGCTTCAGTCTCTGCCGCAGTCTCTGCTTCAGTCTCTGCCTCAGTCTCTGCCTCAGTCTCTGCCTCAGTCTCTGCCTCAGTCTCTGCTTCAGTCTCTGCTTCAGTCTCTGCTTCAGTCTCTGCTTCAGTCTCTGCCTCAGTCTCTGCCTCAGTCTCTGCTTCAGTCTCTGCTTCAGTCTCTGCTTCAGTCTCTGCTTCAGTCTCTGCCTCAGTCTCTGCCTCAGTCTCTGCCTCAGTCTCTGCCTCAGTCTCTGCCTCAGTCTCTGCCTCAGTCTCTGCTTCAGTCTCTGCTTCAGTCTCTGCTTCAGTCTCTGCTTCAGTCTCTGCCTCAGTCTCTGCCTCAGTCTCTGCTTCAGTCTCTGCTTCAGTCTCTGCCTCAGTCACTGCTTCAGTCTCTGCTTCAGTCTCTGCCGCAGTCTCTGCTTCAGTCTCTGCCTCAGTCTCTGCTTCAGTCTCTGCCTCAGTCTCTGCTTCAGTCTCTGCCTCAGTCTCTGCTTCAGTCTCTGCTTCAGTCTCTGCTTCAGTCTCTGCTTCAGTCTCTGCTTCAGTCTCTGCTTCAGTCTCTGCCTCAGTCTCTGCCTCAGTCTCTGCTTCAGTCTCTGCTTCAGTCTCTGCTTCAGTCTCTGCCTCAGTCTCTGTGTCAGTATTTTTTTCAGTCATATTTTCCACTACACCACGCCATGTTAGATTTACCTGCTGGTCTAAACACAGCTAAACATGACTTTCTACCACTTTATCTAAAACAATGAACAGCACATCATATATTTGAAAGACCCAGTTTCAGAGAGAAGGTGCTGAAACGCTTGTTTGCGCCGCAGCATACGTTACCGTGTCACGGCGGGGATTAGAACCTCATGTCCAAACGGCTTATGGTCCGACGCTTAGCAACAATAAATGATATTAGAGATTATCTGTCAGTCAACAAGTCACTCACTGCAGACCATTGTAGCAGAATGAACAAAACTGATTCTTTTAACATATTTTTTATTTTTCAGCAAGTACATTGACAATATTTTCTCTCTCTGTTTTCTATCTCTCTGGTCTCATTCTCTGTTTTTTCTATGGTCTCTCTCTCTCTCTCTCTATGGTCTCACTCTCTGGTCTCACTCCCTGGTCTCCCTCTCTGGTCTCCCTCTCTGGTCTCACTCCCTGGTCTCACTCTCTGGTCTCACTCTCTGGTCTCTCTCTCTGGTCTCACTCCCTGGTCTCTCTCCCTGGTCTCACTCTCTGGTCTCTCTCCCTGGTCTCACTCTCTGGTCTCACTCTCTGGTCTCTCTCTCTGGTCTCTCTCTCTGGTCTCACTCTCTGGTCTCACTCTCTGGTCTCTCTCTCTGGTCTCACTCTCTGGTCTCTCTCTCTGGTCTCACTCTCTGGTCTCACTCTCTGGTCTCTCTCTCTGGTCTCACTCCCTGGTCTCTCTCCCTGGTCTCACTCTCTGGTCTCTCTCCCTGGTCTCACTCTCTGGTCTCACTCTCTGGTCTCTCTCCCTGGTCTCACTCCCTGGTCTCTCTCCCTGGTCTCACTCCCTGGTCTCTGTAACTAGTCTCTCTTTCTGGTCTCACTCTCTGGTCTCTCTCCCTGGTCTCACTCTCTGGTCTCACTCTCTGGTCTCACTCCCTGGTCTCACTCTCTGGTCTCTCTCCCTGGTCTCTCTCCCTGGTCTCACTCCCTGGTCTCTGTATCTAGTCTCTCTTTCTGGTCTCACTCTCTGGTCTCTCTCCCTGGTCTCACTCTCTGGTCTCACTCCCTGGTCTCTCTCTCTGGTCTCTCTCCCTGGTCTCTCTCCCTGGTCTCACTCTCTGGTCTCTCTCCCTGGTCTCACTCCCTGGTCTCTCTCCCTGGTCTCACTCCCTGGTCTCTGTATCTAGTCTCTCTTTCTGGTCTCACTCTCTGGTCTCTCTCCCTGGTCTCACTCTCTGGTCTCACTCTCTGGTCTCTCTCTCTGGTCTCACTCTCTGGTCTCTCTCTCTGGTCTCTCTCTCTGGTCTCTCTCCCTGGTCTCTCTCCCTGGTCTCTCTCCCTGGTCTCTCTCCCTGGTCTCACTCTCTGGTCTCTGTATCTAGTCTCTCTTTCTGGTCTCTTTTTCATAGTTGGTATACTTGGCGTCTCTCACATCTTTAGATCAGCTGTTTCATTAAGACAATTGAAAAAGAGAGCGGACCACCCTCCCTCAGCCAATCAGCTCTCAGCCCAAAGAGTCAAAGAATGAGTCACAGGGCTATTCTTACACAAAAAGTAACATGCAAGACAGCACAGACTCGTGTTCTTTGATTTATTCACAACATTTTATTTTTTACAAGACTCCTTCTATAGGGGCAAACAAGTTGCATTATTTAGGAAGAAAAAGGTTGGGGACCGCAGCTTTAATTACATTGCTATTACCGTTATCCTAATTGCTCATTTTCTAACGGTAAATAAATAGCAAATATAAGCTGTATATGTTTGTGTGTACTTTTTGTGTATGTCTTCTGTCATCAGCTTTGGGAAAGTCCACCAGAAATGGTCATATTTGCTTATTTCTTAATTAAATCGCTTATCTGTCACGGCCGGACTCTGAAAGCGTCTGGACCAATCAGAGCCTTGAACACGATGACTGACTCAGGCTACGTCCAATCAGCTGCTTCCCTCGCTTCCGCAACTCGGGGAGGCTGAGCTAACGGGGAGTTTCGTTGCTAGCAAACATGTTAGCCGCCGCTAGGACTCCACAAAACACTGTCACTGCGGGAGAGGAAAGTCCCAAAAACATCCAGAGATTAACGCTTTCTGCCAGGCCACATCGCGCACTTATCACCGGAGATCAACAACAGCCAGGATACGGTGTTTGCTGCAAGCTAACTTAGCATCGGGCTGCGTGTGCGTGTGTGTGTATGTGTGCGTGCGTGTGCGTGTGCGTGTGTGTGCAGCCGTGAGGAGGACCTTCGCACCGCTTCTTCCACCGCTGCTGCTACTTCTCATTTCCAGTGGATTTATTGTGGATGTTGTCCCTTCACCCCGTGCATGTGCTGTCTCTGCGTGGCCCAGCACGGCACGGATCGGGAGAAATAAGGTAATATCTGATAGCATAATAGCATGATAGCAATTAGCCCGGTTATAGCCACATCTGCTCACATAGAGATGCTGGTATTAAAGCTACGCCGTGATCTGAACATGCAACGCAATATTAAACACAATCTGCACATTGTTCTTAAATAAATACACAATCTAGACCTGCTGTGGTGTTCCCGTGCGTAATGGCATCTATCCAAGCACATCTGCCAACCTCTCCGCCCTGTTTTTCCCCCCAGTATAGTCATTTTACAGTAATTAAACCTTAATGCATTGATAACATAGATCACTGCTTATGCTTAATTATGCACACACGCACGCCCACCCCGTGTTGAGCAGAGATAATAAAGCTTAAGACTCCCGAATGCGTGTGGCAGAGATAACCATTTCGCTGTTCGTATTTGGCAAGTGGCACTAAAATGCAAACGTAAATTCAGTATTTGCAGTATAAAAGCCAGTATAGAATATTGTGTTTTGGTGGTGCCTGTGTGAGCTGGAGCTGTCAGCACTTCTCCACACTTACGGTGCGGTTCCATTCGCTATCACAGATTCAGATTTATTTATTTTAAATGAATACAATTGCTATTTATGTGAATGTAAGTTTGATGATGGATGCACGGTGGTGAGGCAGGGTAGCTGGTCGTATTAGCAGCAGATGCAGAGGGGGGATGCGCTCTCTCCTCCCCGCGTTAGGATGCTCTGCAGAGGGCCACAACACACCCAAGAGCCGCTGATGGGTGATTCTGTGGAGCGGCTATTGTGTCTGTGCTGCTCTCTCCAGGTGGACTCTGTGGACTCTGTGGACTCTGTGGACTCTGTGGACTCTGTGGGCTCTGTGGACTCTGTGGACTCTGTGGGCTCTGTGGACTCTGTGGACTCTGTGGACCCTGTGGACTCTGTGGACCCTGTGGACTCTGTGGACTCTGTGGACTCTGTGGACTCTGTGGACTCTGTGGACTCTGTGGACCCTGTGGACTCTGTGGACCCTGTGGACTCTGTGGACCCTGTGGACTCTGTGGACTCTGTGGACTCTGTGGGCTCTGTGGACTCTGTGGACTCTGTGGGCTCTGTGGACTCTGTGGACTCTGTGGACTCTGTGGACTCTGTGGACTCTGTGGGCTCTGTGGACTCTGTGGACTCTGTGGGCTCTGTGGACTCTGTGGACTCTGTGGACTCTGTGGACTCTGTGGACTCTGTGGGCTCTGTGGGCTCTGTGGGCTCTGTGGGCTCTGTGGACCCTGTGGACTCTGTGGACCCTGTGGACCCTGTGGACTCTGTGGAGTGTCCTAGTGCTGCTGGTCCCAGGTCTATTGGAAGTGCGGATATATGAAGATAACTGAAGCATTTACAGATACTTAAGAAACATAGCTACTACTTATTTGTTGTACATTTTTGTGTGCTCCCTGTGTGTTCTTACTACTGTCCTGTATGTGCGCTGCAACATTGACATTTCCCCACTGTGGGACGAATGAAGGATCTCTTATCTATGTATTCGTCCCATAGTGAGGACATTTCAGTGTTGCAGTGCACTTACAGGGCAGTAGTCAGCACACAACCTGTCATACAGATGAGTAGCTGTAAATGCTTCATAATAAGAGCAATAAATACATATCTATTAGTGTAAAATAGCACAATAGATTCAGATACAAAGATCCTTTATTGGTCCCACTGTGGGGAAATGTCAGTGTTGCATCGCAAGGTCTGTACAGTTTGGAAGAGGAGCACACAGCATAAGATAAATGCACAATAACTATTACTAAAATGAATTACATTAAAATCTCAAACTCTGAGTATATTATGGCCATAGTAGTGGTGGGGAAATCGATTCAATATCTCGATATTTTGCGCACACAATTAAATGGATGCACTAAAGTATCGCAATATTCAATTAAATATTTAATTTTTATCTTATCTTTTATCTTTATCTATTTTAATTTTATATTTAATTTTTAGATTAATATTTATCTGTTTCACCTTTGTGTTTCCACTGTAATTACGACTCTATGACGTCTGTTGTGACTCTATGATGTCTGCTTGTTGTGACTCTATGGTGTCTGCTTGTTGTGACTCTATGGTGTCTGCTTGTTGTGACTCTATGACGTCTGCTTGTTGTGACTCTATGACGTCTGCTTGTTGTGACTCTATGATGTCTGCTTGTTGTGACTATGGTGTCTGCTTGTTGTGACTCTATGGTGTCTGCTTGTTGTGACTCTATGATGTCTGCTTGTTGTGACTCTATGATGTCTGCTTGTTGTGACTCTATGATGTCTGCTTGTTGTGACTCTATGATGTCTGCTTGTTGTGACTCTATGGTGTCTGCTTGTTGTGACTCTATGATGTCTGCTTGTTGTGACTCTATGATGTCTGCTTGTTGTGACTCTATGACGTCTGCTTGTTGTGACTCTATGACGTCTGCTTGTTGTGACTCTATGACGTCTGCTTGTTGTGACTCTGATGTCTGTTTGTTGCGACTATGATGTCTGTATTGACTCTATGGTGTCTGCTTGTTGTGACTCTATGATGTCTGTATTGACTCTATGGTGTCTGCTTGTTGTGACTCTATGGTGTCTGCTTGTTGTGACTCTATGATGTCTGTTGTGACTCTAAGGTCTCTGCTTGTTGTGACTCTATGGTGTCTGCTTGTTGTGACTCTATGGTGTCTGTTGTGACTCTATGGTGTCTGCTTGTTGTGACTCTATGGTGTCTGCTTGTTCCCTCAGGTCTCTGTCCTGTTCTTTGTTGTCGTCGGTCTCTGGAGCTCGCGACCCTGAGGGACCGTCGCAGCCGGGTGTTACCCAGGCCTGAGTGCTCCGAGCTGGGCAGGAGAAGCAGAGGGTTCCCCCGTGGAGGCAGCTCAACACAGCCCTCTATGGCAGCTTCAGAAACACGTCTCCCGCCAGTGTAGACGGCAAACTTTTCCCCTCCGATCTCAACACGCATCAATTATTCACGTGTGCGCACTAATGGATTTTCTCACGAGCGTTTTGGAAAATGCCAACGCCGGCCGCCGCGGCACGCACGGCCCCCCAGACCAGCGCGGGACTCCGGGGCAGGGAGAGAGAGCGGCGGTGTAGGCGCAGCAGAGCGTAGGCATGCATCCACACCGCAAAACCAGGCTCCTGCACCGGCCCAAAAGACTGCTGTTTTTAATACGAGGCCTGAAAATCTGCCTCTTTTAAAACCGCTTCTTCTCGAGACTCACAACTCTCATATTTTGGTTTTTCTCGTACTCATTCCCGGTGCGAAACTTGGACTTGAATCTTACTTTCGGTCACATCAGCTCCTCAAGCCTCAAAAGTCTCTCACTTTTAAGCAGCAGCATCACTACACTTTGCTTATTTTCACTTTTTTTGTAAAATTTGTATGCACAATCTTCTATATTTCCTCACCAACGTTTAGCTAGCACCTCCCGATCTTCAGCGTACTTTTCTAGCACCTCCCGACCTTTAGCATACTTTGCTAGCACCTCCCAACTTGTTAGCGCGCTTCCCTAGCACCTTCCAACCTTTAGCGCACTTTGTCTAGATCAAGTCACTATTGCATCGTTCACTTTGTAGAACCCACTATTGGCTCAATTTTATTACTATTTTTCCAGGGTTATCTCTGGTTTATCCCCCTATTCCACACACACACACACACACACACACACACACACACACACACACGCACACGCACACGCACACGCACACGCGCACACACACACACTGTTTTAGTGACTTTCCGGGGGTTTCTGTGGTTCCCTGGAGCCATGAGCCATCGGTGCTGGTGTGAATGAGGCTCAGGTCGTGATGCCCGTGGGAGGCAGCAGTAAAGGGGGCCTGGGAGCGTCCCCGTCTCCCCTGCCGCACACCGGGGTCCCTGCACCGCGGCCGCTACGACCGTCACGCTACGTCCCCGTCTCCGCGGCAACGTTCTTCCTGGTTGGCTCCACCACGCTCTTCTTCTGCTTCACGTGAGTTTGTTCATGGTGTTTATTTTAGACAAAGTTACAAAATCATTATTACATCAAACAGAGAGTTGTTCTAAGCTCCGTCCTCCTCCCTCTCTCACTACTAGGACTCCCAAAGCAGTCAATCTTGTCTCGGTGTGCCCCAGGGCAGCTGTGGCTACAACGTCTTTGAGCGCCAAATAAGCTCTATATAAAATAAATTCTCTTCTTCTTAATAATAATAATGATGATAATAATAATAATATTAATAATAATAAATAAATACGCCTATACATACATACATATACATACAACTAAACAAATAAATGATTACGTGCACGATACATATTCTTGTACCCACACACATACAGTATATATATTTTTATTATTTATTATTATTTATACATATATTTATTTTTGTTTACATTTAGTCACTTTTCATAAATGCTAAAACTCGTGAATATAACTGAAATTAGGGGTGTGACGATATATCAATACCGTCACACCCGATATCGATATAATCGCGAATCGCAATTATCGATAATCGCGATTCAATTATCGATATGCATTTGCCAAGTATCAATATTAATTTTCAACTTTTATTTTTTACATTTTTTAATTTTTTAAATGGTATCAATACTTAATATATGGCTACATTCCATTTATCATGAAATAAAGTGCATTTTTTCTCTTATTTAGGCCATGAATTGGCATATTGTATATTTCTGACCAATATATCGATAATCGTCATATCGTGATAAAACCGTTATCGTGAGCTTTGTATCGTGTATCGTATCGTGAGGTACCCTTAGGTTCCCACCCCTGAAATATAACAAAAACATTTCCAACAGTTGTTGAAAGGCTAATGCTAAACTAAATGCTAACTGTCAAGCATACAGTGTGTTGCTATGGTAACTAGCATGTGCTCTACAGAATAAAATGTCGGCGGGATAAAGTTTGGACGCCCTGATCTGTATCATTGTCCAACATTATTTCACATTCTCAAACATAGACATTCTGCAGGTCTCGTCAAAGGCGGACCACAGAGAGAGAGCTGAGGACATGTGTTTAGCCCTGGTGCATTGTGGGACAGCTGGGAGTAAGACCATGCTAGCTCTCGTTAGCATCTGCTGTTTACAGTTTACAGTTACACAGCAGGTGTCACTCAGCAAAACTCTGGTTATAAAACTAAGTCCAGGTCAGACCATGTGTCGGCAGGAACTATAAAGGAATAGATCAGGAGGAAATGAACCCTTATTGTGTCGTTAGTGTCCTACATCTTAGAAAACTTTCTTTTTCAAGAAGTGAAGATCAAAGAGTGAACAGAAGACAATGTTCAGTCACTAAAACTTTTAAGTGACGGCAACATTTAGCAAATGGAAAATTACTCATTATTTTTGTCCAGTAGGAAATCAGGTTCATAGTGTTTTATTGGATGCTCAAAGTAAACTGTAGCCACAGCTGCCCTGGGGCACACTGACAGACGCAAGGCAACCAGTCTGTGCCAGTAACTGCAGCTTCATTCACGACCAGAGATGAATAATGTGCTGATGGTTTGATGGTTTGATGGTAAAGGCTTTGATGGTTTAATGTGGAGAGTATTATTGTAAACAGTGAGTGTGAAAAGCGTGTAACAGTGACACAAACAGACAGTTCAGAGAGTGACAGATGTGGCCTATTTTCTCTGCTCTAATCCACAGACGCACACACACACAGAGACGCACACACACACAGAGACGCACACACACACATATGCACTGTGCACCTTCAAAACCATCAAAACACACTGGTTAGTCACATATGTACACACGCACGCACACACACACACCCAGATGCGCACACACATACAGATACACACACAGAGACGCACACGAATATAAGCACACACACACACACATATGCACTGTGTACCTTCGAAACCATCAATACACACTGGTTAGTCACATATGTACACACGTACGCACGCACACACATACAGATACACACCCAGATGCGCGCACACATACAGATACACACACAGAGACGTACACACACATATGCACTGTGCACATTAAAAACCATCAAAACACACTGGTTAGTCACATGTGTACACACACACACACAGACGCACACACACACACACACACACACACAGACGCGTACACACACTTATACACACACAAGCTCACACACAGACGCGCACATGCACACAGACGCGTACACACACCCACACACACAGATGCGCACACACACAGACACACACACACAGACGCACACACACACACAGACACACACACATAAGCACACTGTTCCTCATCAGTCACAGTTGTTTTTAGGGACATCTGTCACAAACGTGTAGCTCCGCCCCCAGTCCTGTAACAGTAAGATGTCATTGTACCACTGTGACATCACTATGACATCACTGTGACATCACTGTGACATCACTGTGACATCACTGTGACATCACTGTGACATCACTGTGACACCACTGTGACATCACTATGACACCACTGTGACATCACTGTGACATCACACTCTTCAGTTTTCTGTCTTTAAAGCATAAGTGTTGTCGGTTGCAGGTGTCCGTGGCTGTCTGAGCGCTTCTCTGTGGCCGTGCCCATCTACAATGGGGTCATGTTCCTGTTCGTCCTGGCAAACTTCTCCATGGCAACGTTCATGGACCCCGGGGTTTTCCCCAGAGGTCAGTGCTCCTCTGCTGCTCCTGCTCCTTGCTTCCGCCTCCCTGCTCCGGTTGCCGGGGGTGACGGTTGCCGGGGGTGACGGTTGCCGGGGGTGACGGTTGCCGGGGGTGACGGTTGCCGGGGGTGACGGTTGCCGGGGGTGACGGTTGCCGGGGGTGACGGTTGCCGGCGGTGACGGTTGCGCCTCATTAACTTTCTCTCTCTGTCTCTCTCTCTCCCTGTCTCTCTCTGTCTCTCCCTTTCACTCCCTGTCTCTCTCTCTGTCTCTCTCTCTGCAGCGGAGGAGGATGAGGACAAAGAGGATGACTTCCGTGCTCCTCTGTATAAGACGGTGGAGATCAGAGGGATCCAGGTGCGGATGAAGTGGTGCTCAACATGTCGCTTCTACAGACCCCCACGCTGCTCACACTGCTCTGTGTGCGACAACTGTGTGGAGGTACTGCTCTCTCTCTGCTCTCTCTGCTCTCTCTCTGCTCTCTCTGCTCTCTCTCTGCTCTCTCTGCTCTCTCTCTGCTCTCTCTCTGGTCTCTCTCTGGTCTCTCTCTTTGGTCTCTCTCTGCTCTCTCTCTGCTCTCTCTCTGGTCTCTCTCTTTGGTCTCTCTGGTCTCTCTCTTCTCTCTCTGGTCTCTCTCTCTGGTCTCTGATGGTGACTGTTGCAGGAGTTTGACCACCACTGTCCGTGGGTGAATAACTGTATCGGTCGGAGGAACTACAGATACTTCTTCCTGTTCCTGGTGTCTCTCACGGCTCACATAATGGCGGTGTTCGGCTTCGGCCTCCTCTTCATCATGTTCCACCGACAGAACATCGACCGCCTGCACGCTATCGTCACGTATCCTTCTCTCATACGCCAACCTCTCACAATCTATAATCAATAGAAACACAAAAATAAAAGCTCAGAGAACCAGTGGGGAAATGTCAATGTTGCAGCACACATACAGGACAGTAAGGCAAGGCAAGGCAAGTTTATTTGTATAGCACAATTCATACACAAATAAGAACAAAATAAGAAAGCATTAAAATCATAATCACAGAACATTAAAAAGAAAGATAAAGATATAAAATCCCTCAGTTGTATGCACAGCTAAACAGAACTGTTTTTAACCTGGTTTTAAACATTGTCAGAGAGGAGGCCTGTCTCACATCTTCAGGAAGATTGTTACAGATTTTAGCAGCATGAATCTGAAAAGCAGCCTCCCCATGTTTAGTTCTGACTCTGGGCACTAACAGGAGTCCAGTCCCTGTGCTCCTCATAGTCCCAGCAGGAGCCCAGTCCCTGTGCTCCTCAGAGTCCCAGCAGGAGTCCAGTCCCTGTGCTCCTCAGAGTCCGGGCTGGTTCATATGGGACTAACATGTCACTAATATATTTTGGTGCGAGGCCATGGAGAGACTTGTAACAAGCAGAGCTGTTTTAAAGTCTATTCTCTGAGCCACAGGAAGCCAGTGCAGAGACCTGAGGACTGGACTAATGTGGTCGTACTTCCTGGTTCTAGTCAGGACTAATGTGGTCGTACTTCCTGGTTCTAGTCAGGACTAATGTGGTCGTACTTCCTGGTTCTAGTCAGGACTAATGTGGTCGTACTTCCTGGTTCTTGTCAGGACTAATATGGTCGTACTTCCTGGTTCTAGTCAGGACTAATGTGGTCGTACTTCCTGGTTCTAGTCAGGACTAATATGGTCGTACTTCCTGGTTCTAGTCAGGACTCGAGCTGCTGCATTTTGAATGTACTGCAGCTGTTTTACAGCCTGTTTGGACAGACCTGTGAGCAGGCCATTGCAGTAGTCTAACCTACTGAGACAAATGCATGGATAAGAATCTCCAGGTCTGCTTTAGACACTATGTTTTTGATCCTGGCAATGTTTTTTAGATGGTAAAAAGCTGCTGATGTTACTGATTTGATGTGGCTATTAAAATTTAAGTCTGAGTCCAGTATTACCCCTAGATTTCTGACCTTGTTTGAAGGTTTTAGGGAGAGAGACTGTAGGTGACAGATGACGCTCTCTCTTTGTTTCTGGGGACCAAAGACAATCATTTCAGATTTGTCTGCGTTTAGCTGAAGGAGTTGTTTTGCATCCACTCACTGATCTGTTGGATACAGTGAAGGAGTGAGTCCACTGGTCCATGTTCTCCTGCAGTCAGTGAGACATAGATCTGAGTGTCGTCTGCATAGTTGTGATAGGACACTTTGTTTCTGCGTATTAACTGACCTAACGGCAGCATGTAGAGATTGAACAGAAGAGGTCCCAGGATCGACCCCTGTGGTACTCCACAGGTCAGGGCCATATGATCTGAGACACAGTTTCCAATCTCCACAAAGTACTTCCTGTCTTCAAGGTAAGACCTAAACCAACTTAGGGCGGTGCCAGCGACGCCAACCCAGTCCTCTAGTCTCTGTAAGAGGATCTCATGGTCGACAGTGTCAAAGGCAGCACTTAGATCTAACAAGATTAGGATTGAGACTTTTCCTGCGTCAGTGTTCAGCCGGATATCGTTTGTAACCTTGACGAGAGCAGTCTCAGTGCTGTGGTGGGGTCTAAAGCCGGACTGAAACATATCAAATGAGTTGTTGATTATAAGAAATCTAGTAAGCTGTAGGTAGACAACTTTTTCAAGGACTTTCCCCATAAATGGCAGATTTGAGATGCGACGATAGTTGTTAAGTACCGTAGCATCCAGACTGCTCTTTTTTAGCAGGGGCCTGATGACTGCAGTTTTCAGGGCCTTTGGGAATATTCCAGAATGAAGGGACATGTTTACTATCTGTGTGAGTGAAGGTAACAGACTGCTCAGAACAGACTTCAGAAATCTAGTGGGTAGTACATCCAGGCTGCATGTGGAGGAGCTCAGACTGGAGATTATCTCTTGGACATTTTTATCATCTACAGGTGCAAAGTGAGTTAGCTCAAAGAGCCTTTCTGGCTGTTGGATGGTTATCTGTGGATTGGAGACAATGGTGTTTTTGATGCCTTGAACCTTGTCATTGAAGAAGTGTGCATTGCATTTACGTTTGGAAGTTAGCTCTAATGGCATTTGAACAGGGGGGTTTGTTAATCTATTAACTGTTGAACAGAACACGCAGATTGTTGCTGCAGCCTTCAATCATTTCAGAAAAATACCTTTCTCTCGTACTACGTAGCACCCGGTAAACTCGCCACTTCCGCGTGACCCTCCGGCACTTTCTCTTTAGTGCCCTGACCGAGTCTGCTTTAGCCCACGGCGCCTTCTGCTTATTTTTCACTATTTTAACCTTCACAGGGGCAACGGTATCCAGAACATTCAAAACACTAGAGGTGACAGAGTTAAACAGTTCATCTACAGTAGAATACGATGCATTCTCAAAGTTTATCATTCTCATAAATAGTTCACTCGTATTTTCATTTATGCGTCTTCTTCGAACGGTTGCAGAGTCCACTGGTGGTTTGTTAGTGAAACACATGTCAAAAAATACACAGAAATGATCCGAAATAGCAACATTGACCACGTTTACATTTGAAATATTCACCCCCTTTGTAACTAACAGGTCTAGAGTGTGCCCTCTGCTGTGGGTGGGGCTACTCACGTGCTGAGTGAGACCAAAGGATTCAAGTACAGAACTCAGCTCATTTGCATTTCTATCATTAACATTATCCACATGAATATTAAAATCACCTGTAATAACCAATCAATCAAATCAATCAAATTTTTTAACTATAAAAATCTGTGCATACAACTGAAAGCAACTCGGTAAAATTATCAATAAAACTGACATGACTGCGGTGGCTTGTATAGGACAACGAAAAGTATTGGAGGAGATTGTTTTTGTTGTATTTTAAAAGACACATATTCAAAAGACGGAAACTTCCCAAGAGACATTCTATGGGAGACAAAGTGGTCTCTGAAAATGGCAGCTAAGCCTCCTCCCTTTTTGTTTTCATGTATTTCAGATTCAAATTTGAAATTTGGTGGTGATGCTTCTATTAAAACTGCATTTCCTGAATTTTGGTCAAGCCAAGTTTCAGCCAGTAGTAAGAGACAGAGACAAAATATACAATTAAGTAGTAGCTGCTATGTTTCTTAGCTACACCTGTAAATGCTTCAATATATGTCAATATATCTCTATATAGTAGGGTTTAATATTTTTCCCGGGAAATAGCTGTTTTTTGTAGTCTTTGTTTTTAGCCCAAGTAATGTATGATATCAATCAAATATGTATGATATTAAACGTAAATCCATCAAAAGTTGCCATCTCCGCTAGTGTTTCACCAAACGACTTGCTAGCTTTGCTAAAGTAGCCATCTTGCGTTTTCAGACGTTTTGTTAATGGGCTTTCTTTAGGAATTTCACTATGCTGAGATTCTAAATGTCTGTGCAATCCATTTGTCGACCAGTGACGTGCGTGTGGTTTGGAGGCACTGACTTCAGCCCAATCAGATGAACATATATATCATATATACGTACATATACGCAGCCTCGTTCTGTGATTGGAGGAGAGCGGGCGTCACGCCAAGTCTCTACTCAGCACTTTTTACGCCTGAATTCATACACAGCTGAATCGATGAGCTCAAGTTTTCAATTAAATTACAGATTATAATAAAACTTGTATGTAGTAAAAAGCATTTTTATGAACTCATAAAAAAAATAAAAAATTGGGTATAGCTTCTTTAAATCAATATTTATATGCTTCACTTTGTGTTTGAGTTGACGCTGGTCATTTACATTTGTTTATCCTGCATGAGGTGTTTGTGCTTCAGTGCGTACCGTTGTAAAGCTGTAGTTGTGACACTGTAAGAGTGAGTCCTTAACGGTGCAGTCTGGCCGTCATGTGCGTGGCCGGCCTCTTCTTCGTCCCCGTGGCTGGACTCACTGGTTTTCACATCGTCCTCGTGGCTCGAGGAAGAACCACCAACGAACAGGTCAGATCTCACTTCCTGCTGATCTCTCTCTGGTCTCTCTCTGGTCTCTCTCTGGTCTCTCTCCCCTGTCTCTCTCTGGTCTCTCTCTGGTCTGTCTCTCTGGTCTCTCTCTGGTCTCTCTCTGGTCTCTCTCTCTGGTCTCTCTCTGGTCTCTCACTGGTCTCTCTCTCTCGGGTCTCTCACTGGTCTCTCTCTCTGGTCTCTCTCTCTGTTCTCTCTCTGGTCTCTCTCTGTTCTCTCTCTGGTCTCTCTCTCTGGTCTCTCTCTGGTCTCTCCCTGGTCTCTCCCTGGTCTCTCTCTCTGGTCTCTCTCTCTGGTCTCTCTCTCTGGTCTCTCTCTCTGGTCTCTCTCTGGTCTCTCTCTGGTCTCTATCTCTGGTCTCTCTCTGGTCTCTCTCTGGTCTCTCACTCTGGTCTCTCTCTCTGGTCTCTCTCTCTGGTCTCTCTCTGGTCTCTCTCTGGTCTCTCTCTCTGGTCTCTCTCTCTGGTCTCTCTCTCTGTTCTCTCTCTCTGGTCTCTCTCTCTGGTCTCTCTCTCTGGTCTCTCTCTCTGGTCTCTCTCTGGTCTCTCTCTCTGGTCTCTCTCTCTGGTCTCTCTCTCTGGTCTCTCTCTCTGGTCTCTCTCTCTGTTCTCTCTCTCTGGTCTCTCTCAGCTTTAAGCATATTTCCTGCTGTGTTTCTCTCCAGGTCACGGGGAAGTTCCGCGGCGGCGTTAACCCTTTCACCAACGGCTGCTTCAACAACGTGTCTCATGTTCTGTGCAGCTCGCAGGCTCCCAGGTTCACTCTGGTCCTTTCTCTCATGGTGTCAGTGTGACCATGTGGGCCCTGGTCTGACTGACTGTTCCTGCAGGTACCTGGGCAGGAAGAGGCCGGTGCAGAGTGCGTGTGTGCAGCCGCCCTTCCTCAGGCCGCAGCACTCGGACGGACTCGCCACCAAGATCCTGGACAATGGCATCCACGGAGAGATGCATCGGGTGAGAAACCCCCCCTGACTGTGAGAAACCTCCCCTGATGGACTTTACAGAGACACAATCTGCAGACACAAGCTTTAGGGCTGGAGTCAAAGAAGAGTTTCAGCAGGAATAATCATGTATGAAGATAAGAGATGCATGTAGAAGACCCAGACCCAGGACTGAGGCTGTAGATCCAGGACTGAGGCTGTAGATCCAGGACTGAGGCTGTAGACCCAGGACTGAGGCTGTAGACCCAGGACTGAGGCTGTAGACCCAGGACTGAGGCTGTAGATCCAGGACTGAGGCTGTAGATCCAGGACTGAGGCAGTAGATCCAGGACTGAGGCCGTAGATCCAGGACTGAGGCCGTAGACCCAGGACTGAGGCCGTAGACCCAGGACTGAGGCCGTAGACCCAGGACTGAGGCCGTAGACCCAGGACTGAGGCCGTAGACCCAGGACTGAGGCCGTAGACCCAGGACTGAGGCCGTAGACCCAGGACTGAGGCCGTAGACCCAGGACTGAGGCCGTAGACCCAGGACTGAGGCCGTAGACCCAGGACTGAGGCCGTAGACCCAGGACTGAGGCCGTAGACCCAGGACTCGGGTCGCGGTAGCTCTGTCTGTATTGTTGTTTTTAAAAGTCTCCACTAGGGGGCAGGAAAAAAGGGGTACAGTATGCTGAGGTGTCCTGTCCCAGATCTCTCTCTCTCTCTCACTCGCTCGCTCTCTCACTCGCTCGCTCTCTCACTCGCTCGCTCTCTCACTCACCCTCTCTCTCTTTCTCTCTCGCTCTCTCTCTTACTCTCTCTCTCTCTCTCTCTTTCACCCTCTCTCTCACTCACGCTCTCTCTCTCTCTCACTCTCTCTCATGTCGGTTTGTGTTTCAGTCCAAGTCGAGTCTGGAGATGATGGAGAGTCAGTCATGTGACGCCGAGCCGCCGCCTCCCCCCAAACCCGAGCTGCGGTACCCGGGCCTCGGCCGCGGGAACAATGAGGGTGAGGGTCTGGAGGGTTTTAGGACCCAGGGGAAATCAGAGGGCCAAAGATGTAGTCTCTAGACCAGAGAGAGGGAGACCAGAGAGAGGGAGGGAGACCAGAGAGAGAGAGGGAGACCAGAGAGAGGGAGGGAGACCAGAGAGAGGGAGACCAGAGAGAGGGAGAGAGGGAGACCAGAGAGAGGGAGGGAGACCAGAGAGAGGGAGACCAGAGAGAGGGAGAGAGGGAGACCAGAGAGAGGGAGGGAGACCAGAGAGAGCGAGGGAGACCAGAGAGAGCGAGGGAGACCAGAGAGAGCGAGGGAGACCAGAGAGAGCGAGGGAGACCAGAGAGAGCGAGGGAGACCAGAGAGAGCGAGGGAGACCAGAGAGAGCGAGGGAGACCAGAGAGAGAGAGGGAGACCAGAGAGAGAGAGACCAGAGAGAGAGAGACCAGAGCGAGGGAGGGAGACCAGAGAGAGAGGGAGACCAGAGAGAGAGGGAGACCAGAGAGAGACCAGAGAGGGAGACCAGAGAGAGAGAGACCAGAGAGAGAGGGAGACCAGAGAGAGAGGGAGACCAGAGAGAGAGGGAGACCAGAGAGAGGGAGACCAGAGAGAGGGAGACCAGAGAGAGACCAGAGAGAGAGGGAGACCAGAGAGAGACCAGAGAGAGAGGGAGACCAGAGAGAGGGAGACCAGAGAGAGACCAGAGAGAGAGGGAGACCAGAGAGAGACCAGAGAGAGAGGGAGACCAGAGAGAGAGGGAGACCAGAGAGAGAGACCAGGAACGCAGCGTATGTATGTGTTGAAATGACTGTCGTGTCGTTTGCCTCCGTGTCGTCCTCCAGAGTGCAGCCTCCTGAACAAAACCCCGCCCACTCCCACCATGTACAAGTACAGACCGACTTACAGCCCCGGCAAGAACCACACGGCGCTCACACACGCCTACGCCAACCAGGTAACCACGGCAACGCAGACCAACCAGGACCAGAGCAGAGACCAGCAGCAGCAGCAGGCCGGTCACCATCCACACTTATTATTATAGTCCCCATCAAAAGTCTGGGTCTGTGTTTACCACTAGGACTCCCACAGCAGTCAATTTGACGGGTTTTAGCGTTGGAAGTGTATTTACTCATGTACGTTGTTGGTCCCCATCATTTTGCCACTTTTTTTGTATCTTTTTGTAGTTTTTATTTTTATTTTAATGAAACTATCTTTTTTTGATGCATGAGACATTCTACCTTCCTACCATTACCTGTAGACCCAGGACTGAGGCTGTAGACCCAGGACTGAGGCTGTAGATCCAGGACTGAGGCTGTAGACCCTAGGACTGAGGCTGTAGATCCCAGGACTGAGGCCGTAGATCCCAGGACTGAGGCCGTAGATCCCAGGACTGAGGCCGTAGATCCCAGGACTGAGGCTGTAGATCCCAGGACTGAGGCCGTAGATCCCATGACTGAGGCCGTAGATCCCATGACTGAGGCCGTAGATCCCAGGACTGAGGCTGTAGATCCCAGGACTGAGGCCGTAGATCCCAGGACTGAGGCTGTAGATCCTAGGACTGAGGCTGTAGACCCAGGACTGAGTCTGTAGACCCAGGACTGAGGCTGTAGATCCCAGGACTGAGGCTGTAGACCCAGGACTGAGGCTGTAGATCCCAGGACTGAGGCTGTAGATCCCAGGACTGAGGCTGTAGATCCCAGGACTGAGCTCTGTAGATCCCAGGACTGAGGCTGTAGACCCCAGGACTGAGGCTGTAGATCCCAGGACTGAGGCTGTAGATCCCAGGACTGAGCTCTGTAGATCCCAGGACTGAGGCCGTAGATCCCAGGACTGAGGCTGTAGATCCCAGAACTGAGGCTGTAGATCCCAGGACTGAGGCTGTAGACCCAGGACTGAGGCAGGGTACAGTGTGTTGTGTGGATCCTGTCTCGTCTCCTCTGTGTCTGGTCCATGTTTTTCTAATCTGTGTTGGTGCTTTTCTTTTGACTTCCTGTCGGCCATCTTGCGTTGGTTTCTCAGTGGCTTTCTGTTGATCCGTATCAGTAAGTGCCTGAAGCATTTGTCTCCTTTTTATTTGATGTGTGTCACTTTTGTGCTCGTGCCTCACTGTCTCCCCCACCTTCTCAACATCCCCCTCTCTCCACCTCCCCCCTCTCTCTTTCCCTCTCTCTCCCCTCTCTCCTCTCTATCTCCTCTCTCTCTTTCCTCTCTCTCTTCCCTCTCTCTTTCCTCTCTGCTCTCTCTCCCCTCTCTCTTTCCTCTCTATCTCCTCTCTGTCTCCCCTCTCTCTCTCCCCTCTCTCTCCTCTCTCTCCCCTCTCTCTCTCCTCTCTATCTCCTCTCTCTCCCCTCCTCTCTCTCCTCCTCTCTCTCTCCCCTCTCTCTCTCCTCTCTCTCCCCTCTCTCTCTCCTCTCTCTCTCCTCTCTCTCCCCTCTCTCTCTCTCTCTCCTCTCTCTCTCCTCTCTATCTCCTCTCTCTCCCCTCTCTCTCTCCTCTCTCTCTCCTCTCTCTCTCCTCTCTCTCCCCTCTCTCCTCTCTCTCCCCTCTCTCTCTCCTCTCTATCTCCTCTCTCTCCTCTCTCTCTCTGCACTCTCTCTCTCTCTCCTCTCCCTCTCTCTCCTCTTTCTCCTCCCTCTCTCTCCCCTCTCCCCCCTCCCCCCTCTCCCCCCTCTCTCAGACCTGGTCATGTTGTAGAACCACCACTAAACGTCAGCACTAATTAAACACCACTTTTCTTCGTTGTGTTTCCGTTACATTTGAGAAGTTGCGTAAAAACCTTTTACACACGGTAACAAAGGTTGCCGTCCAAGTTCTTCTGCTTTATCCGTTGCCGGGTGGCGGGGGCAGCAGTCTGAGCAGAGACACAGACTTCCCTCTCCACACTCACCTCCTCCAGCTCATCTGGGGTAATCCTGAGGCGTGCGAGACACAGTCCTTCTGTGTCCTGGGTCTGCCCCTTGTCTCCTCTCCACGTGGAGGAGCAGCAACTCTACTCCGAGCTCCTCCAGGGTGAGCACTCTGCAGAAAAGAGTCATGTGGAGCTTGGGTTATAAATTCATGCATTTACAAAACAGAGCAAAAGTTTGGACACACCTCATTCAAAGAGTTTCATGATTTTGAAAATGGTAGATTGACACTGAAGGCATCAAACCTATGATGAACTCATGTGAATTATGTACAAACTAAAAAAGTATGAACTAAGTGTAAATATGTCTTATTTTCTGGTTCTTCAAAGTAGCTCCTTTTGCTCTGATACTGCTTCACTCTTGGCATTCTCTGGATGAGCTTCAACAGGACCTGAAATGGTCTCCAACAGTCTGGAAGGAGTTCCCATGATGCTTAGCACTTGTTGGCCCCTTCACTCTGTGGTCCAGCCCCAGAACCATCTGGACTGGGTTCAGGTCCAAAACCACCTGGACTGGGTTCAGGTCCAAAACCATCTGGACTGGGTTCAGGTCCAAAACCATCTGGACTGGGTTCAGGTCCGGTGACTGTGGAGGTCATGTGGCCCAGCACCATCTCTCTCCTTATTGGTCAAACAGCCCTTTCACAGCCTGGTGCAGGTCTACAGCAATAGTCATGAAAAGAACTCAGTGAAGGAGAGAGGGTGTCCAAGTTTATTAAGAACAAATTGTTAGTAAGTAAAAAGAAAAACATTATGAAGGAGAAAGATATTAGACAATAACATTCAAATATGAAAACTTAACGCACAAACTTGTGAATATTGGTCTTATTTTACAGCAGTTAAAAACATAAACACTAGTTCCTTTAAGACGTGGATCTTTCTGAGATGAAATGGAAACACAACACTTTGAACTAAACCCTGGGCTCACCTGGTGCGAGGGCTGAACTGTCACTGACCTGAAATCTCCTCCCCCCTGTCCCCCTCCTCCCCCCTGTCCCCCTCCTCCCCCACACACAGCTGAGTCGCGGCGAGAGCGTGGGCAGTGCTCGGGACTCCTCCTCCTCCACCTCCTCGCTGCTGCAGTCCAGTCAGCAGCCGGGATTCCGCTCCCAGCCCAGCCTCGAGCGCTCGCCCACGGACCAGCGCGCGGGCACCAGGGACTGTACCAGCGGGGGGGCCGGCGGGGCGACCGGTGGGGGGGCGGCAAGCAGCGGTATCCCCGGCTACACTCTGGGCGGGCGCTCCTACCCCTCCTTCTCAGACGCCGTTGGGAACTGTAAACCCAACGCCACCGCGGCCAGCGCCGGCTTCGGTCCGAGCGCTCAGAGGAACGGGAGTCTATCGTACGACAACTTGGCTTCGGACGAGTGCGAGAAGCCGCCGGAAACTGCGGCGCTTCAGCAGCAGCAGGAGATCCAGTCGCCGCACCATCATCATCATCATCATCACCACGTGCCGTATCTGCAGAGATCCTCCTCCACTTCGTCGGCGCCAAACGACGTTCAGATTCCGAGCCTGCACCATCACCACCACCATCACGCGCATCACCACGGCAACACCAGCGCGCATCACCACAGCAACACCAGCGCGCATCACCACGGCAACACCAGCCGGCCGCCGCGCTTCTCCGCCGCCGCTACCACGCACCACCACCACGCGTACCCGTACCGCGCCCGCTCCACGGACGTTCCCCCCGGCAACGCTGTGGCGAGTGCACACAGCGCCCCCCCGCGCTCGCCACACGCTCCGCCGCTCGGGAAGTCGCTGTCGTACTCCAGCGCGGCGGCGGCGGAGATGCAGTACCGGCTGGTGCGCAAGGCGTCGGCCAGCGCCAGTGCGAACGCAGCGAATACTGGAGCAGGACACACCAACAAGTGAGTGACTGAGGCTGTAGACCCAGGACCGAGGCTGTAGACCCAGGACTGAGGCTGTAGACCCAGGACTGAGGCTGTAGATCCAGGACTGAGGCTGTAGACCCAGGACTGAGGCTGTAGACCCAGGACCGAGGCTGTAGACCCAGGACCGAGGCCGTAGACCCAGGACCGAGGCTGTAGACCCAGGACCGAGGCTGTAGACCCAGGACTGAGGCTGTAGATCCAGGACTGAGGCTGTAGACCCAGGACCGAGGCCGTAGACCCAGGACCGAGGCCGTAGACCCAGGACCGAGGCTGTAGACCCAGGACCGAGGCTGTAGACCCAGGACTGAGGCTGTAGATCCAGGACTGAGGCTGTAGACCCAGGACTGAGGCTGTAGACCCAGGACCGAGGCTGTAGACCCAGGACCGAGGCCGTAGACCCAGGACCGAGGCTGTAGACCCAGGACCGAGGCTGTAGACCCAGGACTGAGGCTGTAGATCCAGGACTGAGGCTGTAGACCCAGGACCGAGGCCGTAGACCCAGGACCGAGGCTGTAGACCCAGGACCGAGGCTGTAGACCCAGGACCGAGGCTGTAGACCCAGGACCGAGGCTGTAGACCCAGGACCGAGGCTGTAGACCCAGGACCGAGGCTGTAGACCCAGGACCGAGGCTGTAGACCCAGGACCGAGGCTGTAGACCCAGGACCGAGGCTGTAGACCCAGGACCGAGGCTGTAGACCCAGGACCGAGGCCGTAGACCCAGGACCGAGGCCGTAGACCCAGGACCGAGGCCGTAGACCCAGGACCGAGGCCGTAGACCCAGGACCGAGGCCGTAGACCCAGGACCGAGGCCGTAGACCCAGGACCGAGACCGTAGACCCAGGACCGAGACCGTAGACCCAGGACCGAGACCGTAGACCCAGGACCGAGACCGTAGACCCAGGACCGAGACCGTAGACCCAGGACCGAGGCCGTAGACCCAGAACCGAGGCCGTAGACCCAGGATTAATGTTATAATTTAAGAATAATCTCCAAAATATGACCATGTAATCTCGGGCTTAGTGTGTAAACTTAGTTATAAATGTACCATGTGTGTACCATGTGTGTACCATGTGTGTACCATGTGTGTACCATGTGTGTACCATGTGTGTACCATATGTGTACCATGTGTGTAGCAGCCTTTGTTCCTGATCTCTGTGATAACCTCTGGTCTCTCCCTCTGTGTCCTGCTGCCTGATCCTGACCCTCTGCTCCAACAGTTTTCCTGTGAGTGACTTTCTCTCTGCCCTGTGTGTGTCTGTGTCTGTGTGTGTGTTTCTGTGTGTGTGTTTGTGTGTGTGTCTGTGTGTGTGTGTTTCTGTGTGTGTGTGTGTCTGTGTGTGTGTTTGTGTGTGTGTGTGTGTTTCTGTGTGTGTGTCTGTTTCTGTGTGTGTGTGTTTCTGTGTGTGTGTCTGTTTCTGTGTGTGTGTGTTTCTGTGTGTGTCTGTTTCTGTGTGTGTGTGTGTTTCTGTCTGTGTCTGTTTCTGTGTGTGTGTGATTTTGTGGCTGTGCACCACACACTGCGACCAAAGTGTTAGATCCTTTTTATTTCCGTGTCTCTCAGGTTTGGAAATTTGTAAGTAATATTTATTTATATAGCACCTTTCTCAGACCAGAGTCAAAGCGGTTTATAATCGTGGGCATTAGTCTCTCACACAGAGATGGGAGGGGCCAGGACAGGAGGCACAGACCTATTGTGCATGTTTTTAGTGGTAGGGGAAACCGGAGCACCCGGAGGAAACCTACACAGGCACGGGGAGAACATGCAAACTCCACTCAGAAAAGCCCTGTTCCGACTGGGATTCGAACCCAGGACCTTCTTGCTGAGAGTCGAGAGTGCTATATAGGGATGTAAATCGGTGACCGTTTTAACCGGTGGTTGAGCGTCACAGCGTTAACCGGTCAAAGCTGTCGGTTAAAGAAAGGGGAGGAGGAGGAGGTCTCTTAATAAAGTTATTTTAAGCCCTATTTACCCGGTGTGACGAGCGGGTCTGTCTCTAGCTGTGCTCGCCAATGTAACAGTAAACTCTGGGCCGACTCTCACGCCGCACGCACAGCTGCACACGCACACACGTGCGCACAGACACACACACTTTCCCCCTCTCCATTGATACATAACATCCACACTCATCATCTCTCCTCTCTGTTACCGTCTGCTAGTTGCACACTGCTGCAGGTCAGAACTACATTGGAGCTTATACTTACACATACATACATACACATACATACACACACATACATACACATACATACATACACATACATACATACACACACATACATACATACATATACATACACATACATACACACACATACATACATATACATACATACACACACATACATACATACACACACATACATACATACACATACATACATACACACACATACATACATACACATACATACACACACACACACACATGTATTGTACACACATGCAAATACACGGCTCCAGTCAAACCACATGGACCATGTTTGTGTTTATGGTCCACACTCATCACTTTTAAACTTTAGCAGAGACCTTTGAGTCTGTCGTTAGACTTTAGATATTATTTAAAATGTTGTTTCTGTTTTGTCTCATATCAATCAGTTTTCTCTCGTGAACATTTTCAAATGTTTTTCCAGTGAAGAATGATTCCCTTTAAGGCTTTATGGGGCGTTCAGACGCCGACGCTGGAACGCCGTTTTCACGAGCACCAGAAGCACATTCTCTAAAGTTCAGATGCTCGGTCCTGCTGCGGTGGCGCCGCCGGAAGTGCTTTGATGCTAACAGAGTTTAGCTAGCGGCTTTTTGTTTAAAGTTCTTCTCCAGTAACGCAGCTCTGCTCAGTATGTGTTCACGGAGGTGACTTTATATAACAGCAGTATGTGTTCACGGAGGAGACTTTATATAACAGTAGTATGTGTTCACGGAGGTGACTTTATATAACAGCAGTATGTGTTCACGGAGGTGACTTTATATAACAGCAGTATGTGTTCACGGAGGTGACTTTATATAACAGCAGTATGTGTTCACGGAGGTGACTTTATATAACAGCAGTATGTGTTCACGGAGGTGACTTTATATAACAGCAGTATGTGTTCACGGTGACTTTATATAACAGTAGTATGTGTTCACGGAGGTGACTATATATAACAGCAGTATGTGTTCACGGAGGTGACTTTATATAACAGCAGTATGTGTTCACGGAGGTGACTTTATATAACAGCAGTATGTGTTCACGGTGACTTTATATAACAGCAGTATGTGTTCACGGAGGTGACTTTATATAACAGCAGTATGTGTTCACGGAGGTGACTTTATATAACAGCAGTATGTGTTCACGGAGGTGACTTTATATAACAGCAGTATGTGTTCACGGAGGTGACTTTATATAACAGCAGTATGTGTTCACGGAGGTGACTTTATATAACAGCAGTATGTGTTCACGGAGGTGACTTTATATAACAGCAGTATGTGTTCACGGAGGTGACTTTATATAACAGTAGTATGTGTTCACGGAGGTGACTTTATATAACAGCAGTATGTGTTCACGGAGGTGACTTTATATAACAGCAGTATGTGTTCACGGAGGTGACTTTATATAACAGCAGTATGTGTTCACAGTGACTTTATATAACAGCAGTATGTGTTCACGGAGGTGACTTTATATAACAGTAGTATGTGTTCACGGAGGTGACTTTATATAACAGCAGTATGTGTTCACAGAGGTGACTTTATATAACAGCAGTATGTGTTCACGGAGGTGACTTTATATAACAGTAGTATGTGTTCACAGTGACTTTATATAACAGCAGTATGTGTTCACGGAGGTGACTTTATATAACAGCAGTATGTGTTCACGGAGGTGACTTTATATAACAGTAGTATGTGTTCACAGTGACTTTATATAACAGCAGTATGTGTTCACGGAGGTGACTTTATATAACAGCAGTATGTGTTCACGGAGGTGACTTTATATAACAGCAGTATGTGTTCACGGAGGTGTGCCGTACGTTTATTTTATTATTAAACTACTTCTGTATCGGCGAACACACTATAGCTGCACTAGTTTACAGTCACTGGAGAATGAGAACTCAAGCTGAAGGCATATGTTCACAAGCACAGAGTCCCCCATTGTCAACCCTGGTTTAGTCCTGGTTTAGTCCTGGTTTAGACCTGGTTTAGTCCTGGTTTAGTCCTGGTTTAGTCCTGGTTTAGTCCTGGTTTAGTCCTGGTTTAGTGCTGGTGTAGCTCCTGTTTTGGCTGTTTACAGTATGTTCAGTCTGCTCCCTCAGACACTAATGTCCCCGCGACCACTTTGCTGCTCTCTGATTGGTTGCTGCACGAACGTCCCGAGGAAAAGTTCAGCAAAATTCAATAAAATCATGTCAGAAAAAATCATCTTCATTGTTGATGTTTGTCCTGAATCCACGACATTCTGTTAAAGACCTTTGTGGATGAGGTTCAGTGTCATCTCTGGTCTCTCTCTCTGGTCTCTCGCTAGTCTCTCTCTGGTCTCTCTGGTCTCTCTCTGGTCTCTCTCTCTCTCTGGTCTCTCTCTGGTCTCTCTCTCTCTCTCTGGTGTCTCTCTGGTCTCTCTCTCTGGTCTCTCTGGTCTCTCTCTGGTCTGTCTCTGGTCTGTCTCTGGTCTGTCTCTGGTCTCTCTCTGGTCTCTCTCTGGTCTCTCTCTGGTCTCTCTCTCTCTCTGGTCTGTCTCTGGTCTCTCTCTGGTCTCTCTCTGGTCTCTCTCTCTCTCTCTGGTGTCTCTCTGGTCTCTCTGGTCTCTCTGGTCTCTCTCTGGTCTGTCTCTGGTCTGTCTCTGGTCTGTCTCTGGTCTCTCTCTGGTCTCTCTCTCTGGTCTCTCTCTGGTCTCTCTCTGGTCTCTCTCTGGTCTCTCTCTGGTCTCTCTCTGGTCTCTCTCTCTGGTCTGTCTCTGGTCTCTCTCTGGTCTCTCTCTGGTTTTTTCTGAGTGTTTTTCACATATATTTAATGATTTTTTCAAACCAAACTTAGATTGTTCTACTTTTCTGTGTTTTTCTCTGAGTTTTGAGTCTAATCGTGTGTTTTCCTCGGTCCAGGGCTGATGCGTCCGGCGTGCGTCCTCTGGGATGGACCAATGGCGGCTCTAGCTCCGCCCCCGTCTCTCCCTCTCACCCAATCAGCGTCTCCGCTCGCCCCGGACTGGCCTATCCCGGCTCGGCACTGGCCTCTAGCCCCGCCCACAGAGCCGGCCGCAGCGTGAAGACCGTGTCGGGCATCGGAGGGACCACATACGAGATCTCGGTTTAGAGCCGAGACTCGGGACCAGGATCAAGACCCGTTCTGTAAAACTGTGCAGATAGATTTAAAGTGACGAAGGAGCAGCTTTTAGTTCATGATTTGTGGAAGAAAAGTAGAAAAACAAACAATGTTAATGTAATGTTTAAAGCCTCATTCACACCGAGCAACACGGGCACTCAACCCGACTTGCGGCCTAGTTTTTTGCCGAGGCGTTTCCAAACTCAGTCTAGTCTATCTGGTCTCTCTGGTCTCTCTCTCGATCTCTCTGGTCTCTTTTGGTTTCTCTCTGAGCTCTCTTCTCTCTCACTCCGATCTCTTTCTGGTCTCTCTCTACTCTTCTCTCTCTCTCCACTCCCTCTGATCTCTTTCTCTTTCTGGTCTTGCTTTCTCTGGTCTCTCTCTTCTCTCTCTCACTCTCTGGTCTCTCTGGATCCTCTTTGGTCTTCCTCTTGCTGGTCTCTCACTCTGGTCTCTCTCTCTGCTCTCTCTTTCTCTACCTCCAGTTTTCTCCAGTCCCACACAGACATCCTCTCCTGTGTGAGAGGTTTCTCTGCTTTTCCTCCACAATGAATGAATCAAAGAAGCTCCATTCTTCTCCATGCATCTCTGGTACATTCACCTGGTCCCACCTCTCGCTGGTCCCATGTCCCTTTGACACACGACAGACAAACCATCCCAATCACATCACCCTCCAGTCTCTGTGACCAACGTGACCTTAGTTTTTGTATGGACTCCTGGACCTCGCTGGTCCTTCCTGGTCCTACCTGGTCCTTCCTGGTCCTGGTGTTTACGGTGGCTGCATGGTTCTTTGTCAGAGCTCTCTCCTTCTCTCCACTGCCAGGGTTTCTCCCTTTTCTGCCAAAACAGAAAACGCAAGAAGAGAAAAAGTGTAAAGGAGAAATCTCTTGATGTCAGTGAAGTTTGATTCCTATTGACTTCCATGGAATGGTCTCTCCTAGTGGTCTCTCTCTCTCTCTCTCGCTCTGGTCTCTCTCTCTCGCTCTGGTTTCTCTCTCTCTGGTCTCTCTCGGCTCTCTCTCTCTCTGGTCTCTGCTCTCTCTGGTCTCTGCTCTCTCTGGTCTCTTTCGGGTCTCTCTCTGGTCTCTCTGGTTTCTCTCTCTCTGGTCTCTCTCTGGTCTCTCTCTCTGGTCTCTCTCCGGTCTCTCTCTGGTCTCTCTCTGGTCTCTCTCCGGTCTCTCTCTGGTCTCTCTCTGGTCTCTCTCTCTGGTCTCTCTCTGGTCTCTCTCTCTGGTCTCTCTCTGGTCTCTCTCTGTTCTCTCTCTGGTCTCTCTCTGGTCTCTCTCTCTCTCTGGTTTCTCTCTCTGGTCTCTCTCTCTGGTCTCTCTCTGGTCTCTCTCTCTGGTCTCTCTCTGTGGTCTCTCTCTCTGGTCTCTCTCTGGTCTCTCTCTCTGGTCTCTCTCTCTGGTCTCTCTCTCTGGTCTCTCTCTCTGGTCTCTCTCTCTGGTCTCTCTCTCTGGTCTCTCTCTCTGATCTCTCTCTGGTCTCTCTCTCTGGTCTCTCTCTCTGGTCTCTCTCTCTGGTCTCTCTCTAACCCTCATGGAGCCAGTCTGGGTCCTCCACTCAAATCAAATCCCACTTTCTTTAAAGCACTGAAGGACCAGAAACTGACTTCTGGTCTGCAGCTGCTTAGGTGGCTCTACTCTCTCGTCCTCATGGATATACTCTCTCGTCCTCGTGGATCTACTCTCTCCACACAGAAGCTGCTGGGTCCAAAAACTCATGACATTTGTTGGAAAAATGCACACAACATGATAAATGTTTGATGAGGAGCTCGGGGCGAAGTGTACTCTGAACCAGAGCTGCTGGTGTGTGTACAGCTGTGTTTTTAATCATGGACGTGTTTTAGGGAAGACGTTTCTCCCACGGACTGAAAGCATGATCCCCACACTCCAGAAGCAGAGAGAAGAGGAAGAAGGCTTTTATTTATGTCTCTCTCTCTTTAGTTTGTCTCTCTCTCTGGTCTCTCTCTCTCTCTCTGGTCTCTCTCGCTCCCTCTCTCTCGCTCTGGTCTCTCTCTCTCTCGCTCTGGTCTCTCTCTCGCTCTGGTCTCTCTCTCTCTCTCTCTGGTCTCTCTCGCTCCCTCTCTCTTGTTTCTCTCTCTCTCTCGCTCTGGTCTCTCTCTCTCTCTGGTCTCTCCCTCTCTCTGGTCTCTCTCGCTCCCTCTCTCTGGTCTCTCTCTCACTCTGGTCTCGCTCCCTCTCTCTGGTCTCCCTCTCACTCTGGTCTCTCTCTCTCACTCTGGTTTCGCTCTCTCTCTGGTCTCTCTCACTCTGGTCTCTCTCTGGTCTCTCTCTGGTCTCTCTCTCTCTCTGGTCTCTCTCTCTGGTCTCTCTCTGGTCTCTCTCTGGTCTCTCTCTGGTCTCTCTCTGGTCTCTCTCTCTGGTCTCTCTCTCTGGTCTTCTCTCTCTGGTCTCTCTCTGTCCTCTCTCTGGTCTCTCTCATCTCTCTCTGGTCTCTCTCTCTGGTCTCTCTCTGGTCTCTCTCTGGTCTCTCTCTCTGGTCTCTCTCTGGTCTTCTCTCTCTCTCTCTGGTCTCTCTCTGGTCTCTCTCTCTCTCTGGTCTCTCTCTGGTCTCTCTCTCTCTGGTCTCTCTCTCTGGTCTCTCTCTCTCTGGTCTCTCTCTGGTCTCTCTCTCTCTGGTCTCTCTCTGCTCTCTCTCTCTGGTCTCTCTCTCTCTGGTCTCTCTCTGGTCTCTCTCTGGTCTCTCTCTGGTCTCTCTCTGGTCTCTCTCTGGTCTCTCTCTCTCTGGTCTCTCTCTGGTCTCTCTCTCTGGTCTCTCTCTCTGGTCTCTCTCTGGTCTCTCTCTGGTCTCTCTCTCTGGTCTCTCTCTAGTCTCTCTCATCTCTCTCTGTTCACTGACTTGGTGTAGTTGAAAGTCGGGAAGCGGATGCTGTTTTTGATGAAGATGGTGAAGTTTTCCACCTGTGGCATCGGGATTCTGTGAAGAGAGAGACATGAGACTGTCACTGGTCCATCTGGTCACACTAATAATACAACAAAAACAATAAAACTATAGTCTAATGTGTTTCAATAGACTACAGTGGATGTTTTTAGAGGTAGAGGAAACCTATGAAGACACAGGGAGAACATGCAAACTCCAGCCTGATAGTAGAATTTAAAACAGAAACTGACACAAAGAGTTTACTTTTACATATTAGTCAATAGGACGCAGAGAGATACAGTTAAGTCTATTTTTATGAAGCCTCTGGTCTCGCCAAGATGTCTGCCCCCTGTCTCTCTTTCTGGTCTCTTTCTGGTCTCTGTCTCTAGTCTCTTTCTGGTGTCTGTCTCTCTGGTCTGTCTCTCTGGTCTCTCGCTGGTCTCCCTCTGGTCTCTCTCTCTGGTATCTCTCTCTGGTCTCTCTCTCTGGTCTCTCTCTGGTCTCTCGCTGGTCTCCCTCTGGTCTCCCTCTGGTCTCTCTCTGGTCTCTCTCTGGTCTCTCTCTGGTCTCTCTCTGGTCTCTCTCTGGTCTCCCTCTGGTCTCCCTCTGGTCTCTCTCTGGTCTCTCTCTGGTCTCTCTCTGGTCTCTCTCTGGTCTCTCTCTGGTCTCCCTCTGGTCTCCCTCTGGTCTCTCTCTGGTCTCTCTCTGGTCACCCTCTGGTCTCTCTCTGGTCTCTCTCTGGTCTCTCTCTGGTCTCTCTCTGGTCTCCCTCTGGTCTCCCTCTGGTCTCTCTCTGGTCTCTCTCTGGTCTCCCTCTGGTCTCCCTCTGGTCTCTCTCTGGTCTCTCTCTGGTCTCTCTCTGGTCTCTCCTCTGGTCTCTCTCTGGTCTCTCTCTGGTCTCTCTCTGGTCTCTCTCTGGTCTCTCTCTGGTCTCTCTCTGGTCTCTCTCTGGTCTCTCTCTGGTCTCCCTCTGGTCTCCCTCTGGTCTCTCTCTGGTCTCTCTCTGGTCTCTCTCTGGTCTCCCTCTGGTCTCTCTGGTCTCTCTGGTCTCTCTCTGGTCTCTCTCTGGTCTCTCTCTGGTCTCCCTCTGGTCTCCCTCTGGTCTCTCTCTGGTCTCTCTCTGGTCTCCCTCTGGTCTCCCTCTGGTCTCTCTCTGTCTCTCTCTCTGGTCTCTCTCTGGTCTCTCTCTGGTATCTCTCTCTGGTCTCTCTCTCTGGTCTCTCTCTGGTCTCTCGCTGGTCTCCCTCTGGTCTCCCTCTGGTCTCTCTCTGGTCTCTCTCTGGTCTCTCTCTGGTCTCTCTCTGGTCTCTTTCTGGTCTCTCTCTGGTCTCCCTCTGGTCTCCCTCTGGTCTCTCTCTGGTCTCTCTCTGGTCTCTCTCTGGTCTCTCTCTGGTCTCCCTCTGGTCTCTCTCTGGTCTCTCTCTGGTCTCTCTCTGGTCTCCCTCTGGTCTCCCTCTGGTCTCTCTCTGGTCTCTCTCTGGTCTCTCTCTGGTCTCTCTCTGGTCTCTCTCTGGTCTCTCTCTGGTCTCTCTCTGGTCTCTCGCTGGTCTCTCTCTGGTCTCTCTCTGGTCTCTCTCTGGTCTCTCTCTGGTCTCTCTCTGGTCTCTCTCTGGTCTCTCTCTGGTCTCTCTCTGGTCTCCCTCTGGTCTCTCTCTGGTCTCTCTCTGGTCTCTCTCTGGTCTCTCTCTGGTCTCCCTCTGGTCTCCCTCTGGTCTTACGTTTCAACAGTGTCGACCTCTGCTGGACACCAGCCCTGGATCTCACACGTCTTATTTTCTCCGTCCCACGGGACACAGTTTCCGGTCAGAATTCCTACAAGCAGCAAAAGAACCATGGTTATGACATCACCTGTGCGACCGGGCGGCCATTTTGGATCCTCACCGTTACTCGCAGGTTTCCCAGCTTTGCAGGAGCTGTCACTCAAACATCTGTATTTGTCTTCACTCTGTAACACACACAGACACATACACACATACACACACACACACATACACACATACACACACACACACACACACACACACACACACACACACACAATTAATTTCAAGTATACATGTGCACAATTGCAAAAAGGGAGACCAGAGAGAGACCAGAGAGAGACCAGAGAGAGACCAGAGAGAGACCAGAGAGAGACCAGAGAGAGACCAGAGAGAGACCAGAGAGAGACCAGAGAGAGACCAGAGAGAGACCAGAGAGAGACCAGAGAGAGACCAGAGAGAGACCAGAGAGAGAGACCAGAGGGAGAGACCAGAGAGAGACCAGAGAGAGACCAGAGGGAGAGACCAGAGAGAGACCAGAGAGACCAGAGAGAGAGACTAGAGAGAGAGACCAGAGAGAGACCAGAGAGAGAGACCAGAGGGAGACCAGAGAGACAGAGAGAGACCAGAGAGAGAGACCAGAGAGAGAGACCAGAGAGAGACCAGAGAAAGAGACCAGAGAGAGACCAGACAGAGAGACCAGAGAGAGACCAGAGAGAGACCAGAGAGAGACCAGAGAGAGACCAGAGAGAGACCAGAGAGACCAGAGAGAGAGACCAGAGAGAGACCAGAGAGAGACCAGAGAGAGAGACCAGAGAGAGACCAGAGAGAGACCAGAGAGAGACCAGAGAGACCAGAGAGAGAGACCAGAGAGAGAGACCAGAGAGAGAGACCAGAGAGAGAGACCAGAGAGAGACTAAAGAGCCTCTGAAAAAATAATAGGTCGCAAGCGGGGTTAGAGGCCGGCCGGTTCTGCCGCCTGTGCCTCACCTCTGGGCAGAATCCCTGGTACTGGTTTTCGGTGGTGATCTTTTTGGTGATGATGCAGAAGACCGACGCCCCCTGGAGACCGACAAACACGGGTCTTCAAACCAACTCTCCATCTTTACAAACTCCTGGCTCCACAATCATCCCAGAGCTTTTCAAACATTACAGTCTGGGTTCTGGACACGTGCTTCCTCTTTCTAATCTTATTAAAGTATTTTCTTAGCAGCTGAAAAGGCAGCAGTCGCCTCGAGGCAGAGAAAGACGTTAAAGCTTTAGTCATGTCTGAAAATGGACTAAAACTTTAATTCTCCCTCACAGTTTGGAAACATAATTACAATAAATATGATGTGTTATTTCTAGTTTGAGGTTTAGAAATACAGAAAGAGAGCAGAGAGAGCGGAGAGAGAGAGCGGAGAGAGAGCTGAGAGAGAGCTGAGAGAGACCGTAGAGAGACCAGAGAGAGACCAGAGAGAGACCAGAGAGAGACCAGAGAGAGACCAGAGAGAGCAGAGAGAGACCGGAGAGAGACCGTAGAGAGACCAGAGAGAGACCAGAGAGAGACCGGAGAGAGCAGAGAGAGAGAGCTGAGAGAGACCGGAAAGAGAGAGACCAGAGAGAGAGCAGAGAGAGGCCAGAGAGAGAGACCAGAGAGAGACCAGAGAGAGAGCAGAGAGAGACCAGAGAGAGACCAGAGAGAGCTGAAAGAGACCGGAGAGAGCAGAGAGAGACCAGAGAGAGACCAGAGAGAGTAGAGTGGACTAGCAGCAGAGACCAATGATACAGTTGAGTTATCCTGAGTTAGCCACATTAGCATCGTTCTGTTAGAATCCCATCATGCTAACATCTCGTTATGCTAACATCCGTCATGCTAACATCTCGTCATGCTAACATCTCGTCATGCTAACATCTCGTCATGCTAACATCTCGTCATGCTAACATCTCGTCATGCTAACATCTCGTCATGCTAACATCTCGTTATGCTAACAGGTTCTTTCCACAAGCTGTTAAATTGTGCTTGTATGGAATATGTTTTTGGAATAAAAATGAATCTGAAACTGAATCATGGTTTGGATGGGCTCTGGACTGGGTTTGGATCAGGTCTGGACTGGGTTTGGATCAGGTCTGGACTGGGTTTGGATCAGGTCTGGACTGGGTTTGGATCAGGTCTGGACTGGGTTTGGATGGGCTCTGGACTGGGTTTGGATCAGGTCTGGACTGGGTTTGGATCAGGTCTGGACTGGGTTTGGATGGGCTCTGGACTGGGTTTGGATCAGGTCTGGACTGGGTTTGGATGGGCTCTGGACTGGGTTTGGATCAGGTCTGGACTGGGTTTGGATCAGGTCTGGACTGGGTTTGGATCAGGTCTGGACTGGGTTTGGATCAGGTCTGGACTGGGTTTGGATCAGGTCTGGACTGGGTCAGACCTGTGTTGGAGTGACGTAGTCTGCGACGTCCATCACACGTTCTTTGTAAATCCCGAATCCTTTGACTTTGGTCATAACCGACGACTCGATGGAAGTGTCTCTGGATTGGTACGCTTTCTCATGGAGGAACACCCACCTGCAGGGACCAGAGCGAGACCAGAGACCAGAGCGAGACCAGAGGGAGACCAGAGGGAGACCAGAGACCAGAGACCAGAGCGAGACCAGAGAGAGACCAGAGACCAGAGACCAGAGCGAGACCAGAGACCAGAGACCAGAGACCAGAGACCAGAGAGAGACCAGAGACCAGAGCGAGACCAGAGAGAGACCAGAGGGAGACCAGAGACCAGAGCGAGACCAGAGACCAGAGACCAGAGACCAGAGACCAGAGACCAGAGGGAGACCAGAGAGAGGCCAGAGGGAGACCAGAGACCAGAGAGAGACCAGAGAGAGACCAGAGGGAGACCAGAGAGAGAGACCAGAGAGAGAGACCAGAGAGAGACCAGAGAGAGACCAGAGAGAGACCAGAGAGACCAGAGAGAGAGACCAGAGAGAGAGACCAGAGAGAGACCAGAGAGACACCAGAGAGAGACCAGAGAGAGAGACCAGAGAGAGACCAGAGAGAGAGACCAGAGAGAGACCAGAGAGAGAGACCAGAGCAAACAGTTATTTAGATGAATGAAAAAGGTTTTAATGATTCAAATCAATGTGAATGTGTCTGGGAGGACTTCACAAAGTTGTGGATTCACCAACAACAGATCAGAAAATCAACAATAACAAACACACTGGTCCAAAGAGTATTCTGTCCTTTTGAACCCAGTGTACGGCGTCCTCGGTGTCTTGAAAGGCACCATGAAAAAAGATGAATTGTGTTTTATTATTTCCCTGAGTGTGGTGCAGTGTGAGTTCTGTTTGTGTATCCATGTCCTACTGTCTGTTAGAAAATATGTAAGGTCGTTATCGAGTCTGCAAATAAAGTGATCTACTGTAATCTACTGCAGCTATAAGTACCGTCAGGGCCAATGAATGAATTATGAACGGTTTATTTAATGACCGAATAAATAGTTCCCAAAGGTTTTTCCCGTGGCAGGCGAGTAACAGTTAGGCTAGTAACAGTTAGGCTAGTAACAGTTAGGCGCGTAACAGTTAGGCGCGTAACAGTTAGGCGAGTAACAGTTAGGCGAGTAACAGTTAGGCTAGTAACAGTTAGGCTAGTAACAGTTAGGCGAGTAACAGTTAGGCTAGTAACAGTTAGGCGAGTAACAGTTAGGCTAGTAACAGTTAGGCGAGTAACAGTTAGGCGAGTAACAGTTAGGCTAGTAACAGTTAGGCGAGTAACAGTTAGGCTAGTAACAGTTAGGCGAGTAACAGTTAGGCGCGTAACAGTTAGGCGAGTAACAGTTAGGCTAGTAACAGTTAGGCGAGTAACAGTTAGGCTAGTAACAGTTAGGCTAGTAACAGTTAGGCGAGTAACAGTTAGGCGAGTAACAGTTAGGCTAGTAACAGTTAGGCGAGTAACAGTTAGGCGAGTAACAGTTAGGCTAGTAACAGTTAGGCGAGTAACAGTTAGGCGAGTAACAGTTAGGCTAGTAACAGTTAGGCGAGTAACAGTTAGGCTAGTAACAGTTAGGCTAGTAACAGTTAGGCGAGTAACAGTTAGGCGAGTAACAGTTAGGCTAGTAACAGTTAGGCTAGTAACAGTTAGGCTAGTAACAGTTAGGCTAGTAACAGTTAGGCTAGTAACAGTTAGGCTAGTAACAGTTAGGCTAGTAACAGTTAGGCTAGTAACAGTTAGGCTAGTAACAGTTAGGCTAGTAACAGTTAGGCTAGTAACAGTTAGGCTAGTAACAGTTAGGCGAGTAACAGTTAGGCGAGTAACAGTTAGGCGAGTAACAGTTAGGCTAGTAACAGTTAGGCTAGTAACAGTTAGGCTAGTAACAGTTAGGCTAGTAACAGTTAGGCTAGTAACAGTTAGGCTAGTAACAGTTAGGCTAGTAACAGTTAGGCTAGTAACAGTTAGGCTAGTAACAGTTAGGCTAGTAACAGTTAGGCTAGTAACAGTTAGGCGAGTAACAGTTAGGCGAGTAACAGTTAGGCGAGTAACAGTTAGGCTAGTAACAGTTAGGCTAGTAACAGTTAGGCTAGTAACAGTTAGGCTAGTAACAGTTAGGCTAGTAACAGTTAGGCTAGTAACAGTTAGGCTAATAACAGTTAGGCTAGTAACAGTTAGGCTAGTAACAGTTAGGCTAATAACAGTTAAAACAGCTCAACCTCAGCTGACTGAGAACCTGACAGAGAACCTACAGCTATAAGGATCAGATTTTGTGGGGACTTTAGCATCCTTTGTCATTCTGAACTTTCTTTTTCTTCTTAAATCCTTCGCTTTTCTTTAAATCCACACTTTACTGCCACAAACTCCGGGAAGAACCGGGAGGACCAGAATCATAGACACGCTGAGAGAACCATAGACACGCTGACAGAACCATAGACACGCTGACAGAACCATAGACACGCTGACAGAACCATAGACACGCTGACAGAACCATAGACACGCTGACAGAACCATAGACACGCTGACAGAACCATAGACACGCTGACAGAACCATAGACACGCTGACAGAACCATAGACACGCTGACAGAACCATAGACACGCTGACAGAACCATAGACACGCTGACAGAACCATAGACACGCTGAGAGAACCATAGACACGCTGACAGAACCATAGACACGCTGACAGAACCATAGACACGCTGACAGAACCATAGACACGCTGACAGAACCATAGACACGCTGACAGAACCATAGACGCGCTGACAGAACCATAGACACGCTGACAGAACCATAGACGCGCTGACAGAACCATAGACACGCTGACAGAACCATAGATACGCTGAGAGAACCATAGACACGCTGACAGAACCATAGACACGCTGACAGAACCATAGACGCGCTGACAGAACCATAGATGCGCTGACAGAACCATAGACACGCTGACAGAACCATAGACACGCTGACAGAACCATAGACGCGCTGACAGAACCATAGACGCGCTGACAGAACCATAGACAAGCTGACAGAACCATAGACACGCTGACAGAACCATAGACGCGCTGACAGAACCATAGACACGCTGACAGAACCATAGACACGCTGACAGAACCATAGACACGCTGACAGAACCATAGACGCGCTGACAGAACCATAGACACGCTGACAGAACCATAGATACGCTGAGAGAACCATAGACACGCTGACAGAACCATAGACACGCTGACAGAACCATAGACACGCTGACAGAACCATAGACACGCTGACAGAACCATAGACGCGCTGACAGAACCATAGACGCGCTGACAGAACCATAGACAAGCTGACAGAACCATAGACACGCTGACAGAACCATAGACGCGCTGACAGAACCATAGACACGCTGACAGAACCATAGACGCGCTGACAGAACCATAGACACGCTGACAGAACCATAGATACGCTGAGAGAACCATAGACACGCTGACAGAACCATAGACACGCTGACAGAACCATAGACGCGCTGACAGAACCATAGACGCGCTGACAGAACCATAGACACGCTGACAGAACCATAGACACGCTGAGAGAACCATAGACACGCTGACAGAACCATAGACACGCTGAGAGAACCATAGACACGCTGACAGAACCATAGACACGCTGACAGAACCATAGACACGCTGACAGAACCATAGACACGCTGACAGAACCATAGACACGCTGACAGAACCATAGACACGCTGAGAGAACCATAGACACGCTGACAGAACCATAGACACGCTGACAGAACCATAGACGCGCTGACAGAACCATAGACACGCTGACAGAACCATAGATACGCTGAGAGAACCATAGACACGCTGACAGAACCATAGACACGCTGACAGAACCATAGACGCGCTGACAGAACCATAGACGCGCTGACAGAACCATAGACACGCTGACAGAACCATAGACACGCTGACAGAACCATAGACGCGCTGACAGAACCATAGACGCGCTGACAGAACCATAGACAAGCTGACAGAACCATAGACACGCTGACAGAACCATAGACGCGCTGACAGAACCATAGACACGCTGACAGAACCATAGACACGCTGACAGAACCATAGACACGCTGACAGAACCATAGACGCGCTGACAGAACCATAGACACGCTGACAGAACCATAGATACGCTGAGAGAACCATAGACACGCTGACAGAACCATAGACACGCTGACAGAACCATAGACACGCTGACAGAACCATAGACACGCTGACAGAACCATAGACGCGCTGACAGAACCATAGACGCGCTGACAGAACCATAGACAAGCTGACAGAACCATAGAACTGACACATAGACTGCTGACAGAACCATAGACGCGCTGACAGAACCATAGACACGCTGACAGAACCATAGACACGCTGACAGAACCATAGACACGCTGACAGAACCATAGACACGCTGACAGAACCATAGACGCGCTGACAGAACCATAGACACGCTGACAGAACCATAGACACGCTGACAGAACCATAGACACGCTGACAGAACCATAGACACGCTGACAGAACCATAGACACGCTGACAGAACCATAGACACGCTGACAGAACCATAGACGCGCTGACAGAACAAACATAGAACTAGCGCTGACAGAACCATAGACGCGCTGACAGAACCATAGACCGCTGACAGAACATAGACGCTGACAGAACCATAGACGCGCTGACAGAACCATAGACACGCTGACAGACGCTGACAGAACGCGCTGACAGAACCATAGACACGCTGACAGAACCATAGAGACGCTGACAGAACCATAGACGCTGACGAACCATGACGCTGACAGAACCATAGACACGCTGACAGAACCATAGACACGCTGACAGAACCATAGACACGCTGACAGAACCATAGACACGCTGACAGAACATAGACGCTGACAGAACCATAGACGCGCTGACAGAACCATAGACACGCTGACAGAACCATAGACACGCTGACAGAACCATAGACACGCTGACAGAACCATAGACACGCTGACAGAACCCATAGACACGCTGACAGAACCATAGACACGCTGACAGAACCATAGACACGCTGACAGAACCATAGACAAACGCTGACAGAACCATAGACACGCTGACAGAACCATAGACACGCTGACAGAACCATAGACACGCTGACAAACCATAGACACGCTGACAGAAAACCATAGACACGCTGACAGAACCATAGACACGCTGACAGAACCATAGACACGCTGACAGAACCATAGACGCGCTGACAGAACCATAGACATGAGGACAGAACCATAGACACGCTGACAGAACCATAGACACGCTGACAGAACCATAGACGCGCTGACAGAACCATAGACGCGCTGACAGAACCATAGACGCGCTGACAGAACCATAGACACGCTGACAGAACCATAGACACGCTGACAGAACCATAGACGCGCTGACAGAACCATAGACGCGCTGACAGAACCATAGACGCGCTGACAGAACCATAGACGCAGACTTAAGAGCCCTCTGAGTCATTATTTGGGCTGAGAGTGCATTTTTATGTTTTTTTCCTCAGTTAGTGCCACTTTATTCCCAAACTCTTGTTAACTCATTGTGTTGAGCAAAATTAAACTAAGCTTAATGTCAAGGCCTGGATTCAAGCACTTTGATGAGAATGACTTCATGTTGTGTATATAGGCCACAGAGTATGTAGATTATATATTTTTACATTTTCTCCTGGTGGTGTGCCGCCAGATTTTTTCAATGAAAAAAGTGTGCCTTGGCTCAAAAAAGGTTGAAAAACACTACTCTACTCTACTCAAATCTACACTACTCTACTGCTGTACTCTACTCTACTCTACTCTACTCTACTTTACTCTATTATAGTCTACTCTACTCTAGTCTACTCTACTCAAATCTCTACACTACTCTACTGCTGTACTCTACTCTACTCTACTCTACTCTACTCTACTTTACTCTATTATAGTCTACTCTACTCTAGTCTACTCTACTCTACTCAAATCTACACTACTCTACTGCTGTACTCTACTCTGCTCTACTCTACTCTACTCAAATCTACACTACTCTACTGCTGTACTCTACTCTATTCTAGTCTAGTCTACTCTACTCTACTTTACTCTATTATAGTCTACTCTACTCTACTCTACTTTACTCTACTCTACTCTATTCTAGTCTAGTCTAGTCTAGTCTACTCTACTCTACTCAAATCTACACTACTCTACTGCTGTACTCTACTCTACTCTATACTACTCTACTCTACTCTACACGACTCTACGCTGAACAAGGTACCCATCCTGTGAACTGGTTGTTGTTTTGTGTGTGTGTGTGTGTGTGTGTCCATATGGCTTTGTGTGTTACATTTCTCTCATTGGAAACACAATCCCAACACAATGCGATCACACACAGGCCGTGGACTCACCCGACAAAGTATGTGATGATCAGCAGCTGCACCACTCTGTTGATGATGCCGATGGTCCAGCTCTTCACCACCACGGACTTGGTCGTTTCGTACGTGAAGAAGTCCGTCACACACGACCACACGACGACCATCTCTGCGGACGCACACTCCACACCTCAGCGGACGCACACACCTCAGCGGACGCACACACCTCAGTGGACGCACACACCTCAGAGAAGGCCCAGAAAACACAGAGCTCTATGGTGTTCACTGAGGTACATCCAGAAGCAGCATCCACCCAGTGTTGTCTTGGTCTTTCTGGTCTTTCTCTGATGGTCTTAATGTATCTCACCCCCGCCTCCCTCGACTCCCCCCTCCTCCCCCCCCTCCCCCACAGAAACTTGAGAGGCGGTCGGGGTTTCCAGTCACACACATAAACTGTAGCTATAACATAGAACTGGAATAATAAGGTTTTAGGAAGAACTCTACTCTACTCTACTTTAGTATACTCTACTCTACTCTATTCTATTCTAGTCCACTCTACTCTACTCTGCTCTACTATACTCTACTCTACTTTACTCTACTCTACTCTACTCTACTCTACTCTACTCTACTCTACTTTAGTATACTCTACTCTACTCTATTCTAGTCCACTCTACTCTACTCTGCTCTACTATACTCTACTCTACTTTACTCTACTCTACTCTACTTTAGTATACTCTACTCTACTCTATTCTAGTCCACTCTACTCTACTCGACCCTACTTTACTCTACTCTACTCTACTCAAGTCTAGTCCACTCTACTTTACTCTACTCTGCTCTGCTCTACTCTACTGTACTCTACTCTACTTTACTCTACTCTACTGTACTCTACTCTACTCTATTCTACTTAACTCTACTCTACTCTACTTTACTCTACTCTACTCTACACTCTTCTAGTCTAGTCTACTCTATTCTAGTCTAGTCTAGTCTAGTCTAGTCTAGTCTACTCTACTCTACTCTACTCTAGTCTAGTCTAGTCTACTCTATTCTAGTCTAGTCTAGTCTACTCTATTCTAGTCTAGTCTACTCTACTCTACTCTACTCTATTCTAGTCTAGTCTACTCTATTCTAGTCTAGTCTAGTCTACTCTACTCTACTCTACTCTACTCTATTCTAGTCTACTCTACTCTATTCTAGTCTAGTCTACTCTATTCTAGTCTAGTCTACTCTATTCTAGTCTACTCTACTCTATTCTACTCTACTCTATTCTAGTCTAGTCTACTCTACTCTACTCTACTTTACTCTAGTCTAGTCCACTCTACTTTACTCTACTCTACTCTAGTCTACTCTACTCTACTCTACTCTACTCTACCCTACTCTAGTCCAGCATCTACATTATAATCTGTTTAAATGAATATAAGTTGTTAGCAACGATGGAACAACCATGTGCCAATCCTCTCTCTCTCTCTCCCTCTCGGGTCTCTCTCTCTCTCCCTCTCGGGTCTCTCTCTCTCTCTCTCTCGGGTCTCTCTCTCTCTCTCTCCCTCTCGGGTCTCTCTCTCTCTCTCTCTCGGGTCTCTCTCTCTCTCTCTCTCTCTCTCCCCCTCTCGGGTCTCTCTCTCTCTCTCGGGTCTCTCTCTCTCTCTCCCTCTCGGGTCTCTCTCTCTCTCTCTCTCCCTCTCGGGTCTCTCTCTCTCCCTCTCGGGTCTCTCTCTCTCTCTCTCTCTCTCGCCCTCTCGGGTCTCTCTCTCTCTCTCTCTCTCCCTCTCGGGTCTCTCTCTCTCTCTCTCTCTCCCTCTCGGGTCTCTCTCTTTAAGTGGCATACTTGTACATTACTGTCCTTCCCGCTCCTGAGTCCTTAACACAGCTGAGCTCCGGCCACAGACGAATATTTTACAGAAAGTGCATTATTTGCGAGGCGCGACCACAGGCCTCGCTGTGATTCTGTGGTTTGAATAAAAGCGTTGCTATCTCCGCTTGCGGCCTGAAGATCCAAGCCACAAGAACCATCGCAGCTCGGGTTTCAGGCCTAACGAGATCACGGCTGCCGGAACGTCTGCCTCCATCAAACAGTCACTTATCGCCGCGACGTAATGGACTGAGGCCGAGAGTGAGATATGGCCCAGAAACACGACCAGAAAAGAATCGATAATATCTGAAAAGACAGTTTTAACGACCACGTAATGGACGCTTAACAACTGGAACAAAATGTACAGAAAAATGGTCTCTATTCTGCAAACATGAATTTCTTAACCAAGTCACACTGACTTCAATTCTTATTTTAAGAAGATTTTCTACAAAATCAAGTTCTATCACTTATGCAAATGATAAAACCAGTGAATAGTAATACTTTTTTCTTGTTTTAAGATTTAGACTTGTTGAGGCTATTGGATGTTCTTTCGCAAAAGCATCGCAGATATCGTTCCATTCAACAGCAGCCAAATGAGCTGTCGCCATAGTTACCACCAGGTTTAGCCAAACATTTAGCTGTCATGCTATTGCCCTAATGGAATCTGCCATGCTGTAGATATGACATCACAAAACCTCTTTAGTCACATGTGTTGTCATTATTATGGGCATTTGCAAAAGGCCAAAGCGAGCTACCCAGTGTTGAGGGTCGGCCCGAGCGAGACGTCAAAGACTTAACAAAAACATCGTAGAACAGCAACATACATTTAAACAACATTTACATTATGTTTATTAAACATTTTCATGTCACATTACATCAGTAAGATCACATTTCCTTGGAACGAATGTGTTGGTATTGAGCACCACAGCTTTAATGCAGTGTAATCCTTCAGTTTCTCTATTTTAACATCTTCTGTTGCCATAGCAACACTTGGTACATTAATTTCATATGAGAGCAAATTTCTATTAAAGTCGGGTGAATCACAACAATGTGTAATGTTGTGTAGTTACTGTGTAATGTTGTGTAGTTACTGTGTAATGTTGTGTAGTTACTGTGTAATGTTGTGTAGTTACTGTGTAATGTTGTGTAGTTACTGTGTAATGTTGTGTAGTTACTGTGTAATGTTGTGTAGTTACTGTGTAATGTTGTGTAGTTACTGTGTAATGTTGTGACACGCTGGACATACACTTTATCTTTCATCTGTGAAAAAAAATGTATTGCCACAAGTTTGACATTTAGTTTTTTCCTTTCAGGAATATTCCTCCAGAAGCGGCCTCTGCACAGGGGCTGCTCATGGACCAGGCCTCTGCACAGGGGGCCTGGCTCATGGACCAGGCCTCTGCACAGGGGCTGCTCATGGACCAGGCCTCTGCACAGGGGCTGCTCATGGACCAGGCCTCTGCACAGGGGCTGCTCATGGACCAGGCCTCTGCACAGGGGGCTGCTCATGGACCAGGCCTCTGCACAGGGGGCTGCTCATGGACCAGGCCTCTGCACGGGGGGCTGCTCATGGACCAGGCCTCTGCACAGGGGGCTGCTCATGGACCAGGCCTCTGCACAGGGGGCTGCTCATGGACCAGGCCTCTGCACAGGGGGCTGCTCATGGACCAGGCCTCTGCACAGGGGGCTGCTCATGGACCAGGCCTCTGCACAGGGGGCTGCTCATGGACCAGGCCTCTGCACAGGGGGCTGCTCATGGACCAGGCCTCTGCACAGGGGGCTGCTCATGGACCAGGCCTCTGCACAGGGGGCTGCTCATGGACCAGGACGGCTGCTTCATGTGGTCCACTCCCATCTCATCTTAAGTCCAAGCTCCATGAATCCTTTCTTCACCTCATGTTATGTTTATGTATATTATGTATACCCACAATGCAGCAGGCGTGTTGCTCTGCAGATCCCCTCACTCAAACTCATCTCTGACGTTTGTTAAACCTAATGTTGTGCAATGGGTTAAATGTTGTAATAATAATAAAAAAATGCTGTTGATGCTCAGAGCAAGGCTTAGATCTAGCATCGAGCTTTTCAAGAATTATAATCTTATTTTGAGATCTGTGCTGCACTATTTTAGTCTTTGCCTGAATCCTAAACAAGTCAAATGTACTCAAATCAAAAATAGATTTGTTCAAAATAAGATGTAATATCTTCAAATAAATTCTTGAAACAAGTGTTTATTGTGAATATTTTTCCTGTTTTAAGAAATCTTAAATCTTAAGTGCAAGTATCTTTCTGCAGATGATTTCACTTGAAATTAGACTTTTTTTCTTACCCCAAAACAAGATACATTTTCTTATTTCAAGAAAGGTCTGTCTCATCCTGGTCTCTCTCTGGTCTCTCTCTGGTCTCTCTCTCTGGTCTCTCTCTGGTCTCTCTCTCTGGTCTCTCTCTGGTCTCTCTCTGGTCTCTTCTCTCTCTGGTCTCTCTCTGGTCTCTCTCTGGTCTCTCTCTGATCTCTCTCTGGTCTCTCTCTGGTCTCTCTCTCTGGTCTCTCTCTGATCTCTCTCTGGTCTCTCTCTGGTCTCTCTCTCTGGTCTCTCTCTGGTCTCTCTCTGGTCTCTCTCTCTGGTCTCTCTCTGGTCTCTCTCTCTGGTCTCTCTCTGGTCCCTCTCTGGTCTCTCTCTGGTCTCTTTCTGGTCTCTCTCTGGTCTCTCTTTGGTCTCTTTCTGGTCTCTCTCTGGTCCCTCTCTGATCTCTCTCTGGTCCCTCTCTCTGGTCTCTTTCTGGTCCCTCTCTGGTCTCTCTCTGGTCTCTCTCTGGTCTCTCTCTGGTCTCTCTGGTCTCTCTCTGGTCTCTCTCTGGTCTCTCTCTGGTCCCTCTCTGGTCTCTTTCTGGTCTCTCTCTGGTCCCTCTCTCTGGTCTCTTTCTGGTCTCTCTCTGGTCCCTCTCTGGTCTCTCTCTGGTCTCTCTCTGGTCTCTTTCTGGTCCCTCTCTGGTCTCTCTCTGGTCTCTCTCTGGTCTCTCTCTGGTTCCTCTCTGGTCTCTCTCTGGTCTCTCTCTGGTCCTTCTCTGGTCTCTCTCTAGTCCCCTCTCTGGTCTCTCTCTGGTCTCTCTCTGGTCTCTCTCTGGTCCCTCTCTCTGGTCCCTCTCTGGTCTCTCTCTGGTGTCTCTCTGGTCTCTCTCTGGTCTCTCTCTGGTCTCTCTCTGGTCTCTCTCTGGTCCCTCTCTCTGGTCTCTCTCTGGTCCCTCTCTCTGGTCTCTCTCTGGTCTCTCTCTGGTCCCTCTCTGGTCTCTCTCTGGTCCCTCTCTGGTCTCTCTCTGGTCCCTCTCTGGTCTCTCTCTGGTCTCTCTCTGGTCCCTCTCTCTGGTCTCTCTCTGGTCCCTCTCTCTGGTCCCTCTCTGGTCTCTCTCTGGTCCCTCTCTGGTCTCTCTCTGGTCTCTCTCTGGTCTCTCTCTGGTCTCTCTCTGGTCCCTCTCTGGTCCCTCTCTGGTCTCTCTCTGGTCCCTCTCTGGTCCCTCTCTGGTCCCTCTCTGGTCTCTCTCTGGTCTCTCTCTGGTCTCTCTTTCTCAAAACCAGGTCTAATGAGGTTCTCCTGTGAGCTCTTCAACATTGTGGCTCCACCCAGACACAAAATGGCCGACAGAGACACGCCCACAAAATGGCCGGCAGAGACACGCCCACAAAATGGCTGACAGAGACACAGCCTCCATCAAGTCACAGCAAAAACATGAATAAAAGGTAAAAAAGTAACGACAGGCTGATGTAAACATGAGCTGGAGCCAAAGTCCTTATATGGGCATGTGCTACACGCTGTTAGCTTTGAGCAGCGGCGCAGGGGTTAGCCCTTGTGCCTCACAGCAAGAAGGTCCTGGTTTGGTTCCACCTACGGACAGGCCATTTGTGTTTCGGCTTTGCATGTTCTCCCTGTGTCTGTATATATTTTCCTGTGGGTGTCCTGAAACAAGACTTTAAAACAGGACCAATCCAAGACTAGAGAAGGACTAAACCAGGACTAAACCAGGACTAAACCAGGACTAAACCAGGACTGAAGCACGTCTAAACTGGGTCTAAATTAGGACTGAAGCAAGACTAAACACGGGTCTAAACCAGGACCAAACCAGGACCAAACCAGGACTAAAGCAGGACTAAACTCTTAACTTCCTACTTCTCAACCCGGAGAAGACAGAAGTGATCCTACTCGGTCCGAAGCGCCTGCGTGACTCCCTCACTAACCAGATAATTACTCTGAAAATGTCAGTATAATACCCAGTAACATTGTGAGGAATCTTGGAGTCATTTTTGACCAAGAACTCTCCTTCAAGGCTTATATAAGCCAAGCAACTAAAACGGCGTACTTCCACTTACGGAACATCGCTAAAATTAGGAATTTCCTTCCTAAAAGTGACGCGGAAAAACTCATTCACGCGTTTGTCACCTCAAGGCTCGACTACTGTAACGCTTTACTGGCAGCGTGCCCTAAAGCGTCTTTGAAGAGCTTCCAGCTCGTTCAGAATACAGCAGCTAGGATCTTAACAGGTACCAAAAGGAGGGAGCACATAACTCCGGTGTTAAAATCACTCCACTGGCTCCCTGTGGAGTACAGAATAAAGTTTAAAATCCTTCTCTTAACATCCATCCATCCATTTTCTACCCTTTAATCCATTTCTGGGTCAGGGGGGTGGCAGTCAGAGATGCCACCCAAGTCTCATAGCACCAGCCCCTCACTGACCCTCTGCAGGTGGTGAGTCCACAGGAGGACGGCTGCTCTCTGACTGTGAGCATAGCCTTGATCTTTCAGTGGGGGCTTTGGGCAAAGTGGGGTTAAGTGTCTTGCCCAAGGACACAACGACAGCAGTCATCAGTGGGAGTCGATGGAGAAGGTGCAGAGGTGGGAATTGAACCCACGACCTTCTGGGCTTAAGGCCAATGCTCTACCAACTGAGCTACTGTCGCCCTGACATAACATATATAACATACAAAGCCATAAATGGCTCCTTCTTATCTCCAAGACACGTTAGTGTCAGACCAAACCTGTGTTGTAGCAGAAAGACTAAAGGACTCTTCCAGTTGAGTTATTCATAATTTATGAACCATAACCTTTACCCCTGTCTGCAGCTCCGCTCTGGTTCAGACCCCGCTTCTCGGCCCCTTGAGTACTCTACACAAGTGGCTGCTTCCTAATGGCCTCAGGCTGAAGACCATCTGCGACTGATGGACAGAGGACCATCAACACTCATACCATTAGCATCGATCTCTTTACTCTCTCCACGCTGATCCTGTTCCTGCCCCCAGCCTGTCTCCATGTAGTGTACAGAACCACCTGGTCCTGGTTCTATCCAGGCCCAGCTGGTACTAGAGTGCTGCTGGAAGCCATGGTTACCACGGAACTTCAGAGTAGAGACTAAACCAGGACTACAGCAGGTCTAAACCAGGACTAAAACTGAGACTAAAGCAGGTGGCTGAGTGGATAGCATAGGTAGCCTGCGTAGGTTTCCTCCGGGTACTCCGGTTTCCTCTACCACTAAAAACATGCTCACTAGGTTAAATCTTCCAGCTCCGGTCCAGACCCAGAGCATCAACATCTGGAGATGGTTCCTGGGCGCTGTTACTACGGCGACCACTGCTCCTGATGTAAGCCTCAGGGCATCAGGGTCAAATGCAGAGGATTTTGCTCTACGGGGATTAATAAAGTGCAGCTTTACCTTTAGGTCTAAAGTAGGACTAAAGCAGGACTAAAGCAGGACTAAAGCAGGACTAAAGCAGGACTAAAGCAGGACTAAAGCAGGTCTAAAGCAGGACTAAAGCAGGACTAAAGCAGGTCTAAAGTAGGTCTAAAGCAGGACTAAAGCAGGACTAAAGCAGGTCTAAAGCAGGACTAAAGCAGGTCTAAAGCAGGTCTAAAGCAGGACTAAAGCAGGTCTAAAGCAGGACTAAAGTAGGTCTAAAGCAGGACTAAAGCAGGACTAAAGCAGGTCTAAAGCAGGACTAAAGCAGGACTAAAGCAGGTCTAAAGCAGGTCTAAAGCAGGTCTAAAGCAGGACTAAACCAGGTCTAAAGCAGGACTAAAGCAGGTCTAAAGCAGGACTAAAGCAGGACTAAAGCAGGACTAAAGCAGGTCTAAAGCAGGTCTAAAGCAGGACTAAAGCAGGTCTAAAGCAGGTCTAAAGCAGGTCTAAAGCAGGTCTAAAGCAGGACTAAAGCAGGACTAAAGCAGGTCTAAAGCAGGACTAAAGCAGGTCTAAAGCAGGTCTAAAGCAGGTCTAAAGCAGGTCTAAAGCAGGACTAAAGCAGGTCTAAAGCAGGACTAAAGCAGGACTAAAGCAGGTCTAAAGCAGGACTAAAGCAGGTCTAAAGCAGGTCTAAAGCAGGACTAAAGCAGGACTAAAGCAGGTCTAAAGCAGGACTAAAGCAGGACTAAAGCAGGACTAAAGCAGGACTAAAGCAGGACTAAAGCAGGTCTAAAGCAGGACTAAAGCAGGTCTAAAGCCGGACTATCAGTCTCCTTCTCATTCTTTTAACTTTCCCAGGATCTGAGAGTCCAGAACAGTTGAAAGTCTGTTGGTGAAGTGTGCTATATAGATAAACTTCTCTAAAGCATCAGCACTTGTCTAAAGAGTCTCACGTGTCTCTGTCTGAGTTTGAAAAGAGCACTTCATCAAACCACAACAAGCACTTTGGTCGCTCTGCTTCAGGAGGTGGTTCTTAAGACGTCTTTCAAAAAGTAAAAAGATCAATATAAAAAAATCAAATGCTTTTAATTTAGTTTGATTGTGAAGAGAGAGCGGAGGGACGGTTATGGTGCCGTCACCTTTTATGGCTTCATGTGCAAAGTTCAGTTTGACAGTAAGACAGAGACTGAAACAGAGACTAAAGCAGAGACCGAGACCGAGACTGAAATGGGTAAGTTTCTTTGTGCAAAATTGTGGGTATAATTATTGCACAAATGTCTCTCTCTGGTCCCTCTCTGGTCTCTCTCTAGTCTCTCTCTGGTCTCTCTCTGGTCTCTCTCTAGTCTCTCTCTGGTCTCTCTCTGGTCTCTCCCTCTGGTTTCTCTCTCTGGTCTCTCTCTGGTCTCTCTCTGGTCTCTCTCTGGTCTCTCTCTGGTCTCTCTCTGGTCTCCCTCTGGTCTCTCTCTGGTCTCTCCCTCTGGTCTCTCTCTGGTCTCTCTCTGGTCTCTCTCTGGTCTCTCTCTGGTCTCTCTCTGGTCTCTCTCTGGTCTCTCTCTGGTCTCTCTCTGGTCTCCCTCTGGTCTCTCTCCGGTCCCTCTTTAGTCTCTCTCTGGTTTCTCTCTGGTCTCTCTCTGGTCTCTCTCTGGTCTCTCTCTGGTGTCTCTCTGGTCTCTCGCTGGTCTCTCTCTGGTCTCTCTCTGGTCTCTCTCTGGTTTCTCTCTGGTCTCTCTCTGGTCTCTCTCTGGTGTCTCTCTGGTCTCTCTCTGGTCTCTCTCTGGTCTCTCTCTGGTCTCTCTCTGGTTTCTCTCTAGTCTCTCTCTGGTCTCTCTCTGGTGTCTCTCTGGTCTCTCGCTGGTCTCTCTCTGGTCTCTCTCTGGTCTCTCTCTGGTTTCTCTCTGGTCTCTCTCTGGTGTCTCTCTGGTGTCTCTCTGATCTCTCGCTGGTCTCTCTCTGGTCTCTCTCTGGTGTCTCTCTGGTCTCTCGCTGGTCTCTCTCTGGTCTCTCTCTGGTCCCTCTCTGGTCCCTCTCTGGTCTCTCTCTGGTCTCTCTCTGGTCCCTCTTTAGGACCTCTTTTTTAGACCAGAGAGAGGCAAGGCAAGTTTATTTGTATAGCACAACTCAAAGTGCTGAACAAAACAAGAAAGCATTAAAATCATAAATAATCACAGAGCATTAAAAAGAAAGATAAAAATATAAAATCCCTCAGTTGTAGCACAGCTAAACAGAACTGTTTTTAACCTGGTTTTAAACATTGTCAGAGAGGAGGCCTGTCTCACATCTTCAGGAAGATTGTTCCAGATTTTAGCAGCATGAATCTGAAAAGCAGCCTCCCCATGTTTAGTTCTGACTCTGGGCACTAACAGGAGTCCAGTCCCTGTGCTCCTCAGAGTCCCAGCAGGAGTCCAGTCCCTGTGCTCCTCAGAGTCCCAGCAGGAGTCCAGTCCCTGTGCTCCTCAGAGTCCCAGCAGGAGTCCAGTCCCTGTGCTCCTCAGAGTCCCAGCAGGAGTCCAGTCCCTGTGCTCCTCAGAGTCCCAGCAGGAGTCCAGTCCCTGTGCTCCTCAGAGTCCGGGCTGGTTCATATGGGACTAACATGTCACTAATATATTTCGGTGCGAGGCCATGGAGAGACTTGTAACAAGCAAAGCTGTTTTAAAGTCTATTCTCTGAGCCACAGGAAGCCAGTGCAGAGACCTGAGGACCGGACTAATGTGGTCGTACTTCCTGGTTCTAGTCAGGACTAATATGGTCATACTTCCTGGTTCTAGTCAGGACTAATGTGGTCGTACTTCCTGGTTCTAGTCAGGACTAATGTGGTCGTACTTCCTGGTTCTTGTCAGGACTAATGTGGTCGTACTTCCTGGTTCTAGTCAGGACTAATATGGTCGTACTTCCTGGTTCTAGTCAGGACTGGAGCTGCTGCATTTTGAATGTACTGCAGCTGTTTTACAGCCTGTTTGGACAGACCTGTGAGCAGGCCATTGCAGTAGTCTAACCTACTGGAGACAAATGCATGGATAAGAATCTCCAAGTCTGCTTTAGACACTATGTTTTTGATCCTGGCAATGTTTTTTAGATGGTAAAAAGCTGCTGATGTTACTGATTTGATGTGGCTATTAAAATTTAAGTCTGAGTCCAGTATTACCCCTAGATTTCTGACCTTGTCTGAAGGTTTTAGGGAGAGAGACTGTAGGTGACAGATGACGCTCTCTCTTTGTTTCTGGGGACCAGAGACAATCATTTCAGTTTTGTCTGCGTTTAGCTAACAAAACTTAGCTAAACTCCGGTCTCTCTCTAGTTCTGGACTGGTCTAGGACTGGTTATGGTTCCTAGTCGAGTCAGCTTGATTTTCCGCCAGAGAAGAGCTGGTGTTAGTTACTTGGGCGGCACGGTGGCTGAGTGGATAGCACTCTCGCCTCTCAGCAAGAAGGTCCTGGGTTCGAATCAGGGCCTTTCTGAGTGGAGTTTGCATGTTCTCCCCGTGTCTGCGTAGGTTTCCTCCGGGTACTCCGGTTTCCCCTACCACTAAAAATATGTACAATAGTTCTGGCATGCGCCTCCTGTACTGGCCCCGCTCCCATCTCTGTGTAAAGTGAGAGACAAATGCCCAAAAATAACAATTGTAAACTGACTCTGGTCTGTGAAAGGCGGTATATAAATAAACATTACTTACTTACTTACTTACCATAGCGACACACCATTTACTGTTAGCCGTTAGCATTTAGCCTTTCACCAAACTATCTATCTATCTATTTTATTTATTATTTATTTAAACTTGGACTCACATGCAAGCACAGGATGCATAACTAATAATATCTATCTATCTATATCTATATCTGTCTGTTTATCTGCGTGTAATTCCCTGGTTGTCCACAGGGGGCGGGCAGGAGCTGTGTCTGCAGCGGAAGCAGCAGTGTTGTGGTGGAGGCTGTTGTTGTGATCTGCTGTTTCTGGGTTTCTCTCAGATTCGTTCTATTTCTCTCCTTTATCTGCAGATTCTGAGATCGCTGCGGACGTCACTGTGAACGTCACTGTGAACGTCACCGTGAGGACGCACAGGTCAGTCACGTGGACACTTACGTAACGCGTCATGAAGATGTTTTTATTATTGTTTATTACAGAAGTTTATAACAGCGTTGGGACGTGTCCTGAGATAAGGCAGGACTAAAGCAGGACTAAAGCAGGTCTAAAGCAGGACTAAAGCAGGTCTAAAGCAGGACTAAAGCAGGTCTAAAGCAGGACTAAAGTAGGTCTAAAGCAGGTCTAAAGCAGGTCTAAAGCAGGTCTAAAGCAGGTCTAAAGCAGGACTAAAGCAGGTCTAAAGCAGGACTAAAGTAGGACTAAAGCAGGACTAAAGTAGGTCTAAAGCAGGTCTAAAGCAGGACTAAAGCAGGTCTAAAGCAGGACTAAAGTAGGTCTAAAGCAGGTCTAAAGCAGGACTAAAGCAGGTCTAAAGCAGGACTAAAGCAGGACTAAAGCAGGACTAAAGTAGGACTAAAGCAGGACTAAAGCAGGTCTAAAGCAGGACTAAAGTAGGACTAAAGCAGGACTAAAGCAGGACTAAAGTAGGTCTAAAGCAGGTCTAAAGCAGGTCTAAAGCAGGACTAAAGCAGGTTTAAAGCAGGAGTAAAGCAGGAGTAAAGCAGGAGTAAAGCAGGTCTAAAGCAGGTCTAAAGTAGGTCTAAAGCAGGACTAAAGCAGGTCTAAAGCAGGTCTAAAGCAGGAGTAAAGCAGGTCTAAAGCAGGTCTAAAGTAGGTCTAAAGCAGGACTAAAGCAGGTCTAAAGCAGGTCTAAAGCAGGTCTAAATCAGGACTAAAGCAGGTCTAAAGCAGGTCTAAAGCAGGTCTAAAGTAGGTCTAAAGCAGGACTAAAGCAGGTCTAAAGCAGGTCTAAAGCAGGACTAGCAGGACTAAATCAGGAGTAAAGCAGGTCTAAAGCAGGACTAGCAGGACTAAAGCAGGTCTAAAGCAGGACTAAAGCAGGACTAAAGCAGGTCTAAAGCAGGTCTAAAGCAGGACTAGCAGGACTAAATCAGGTCTAAAGCAGGTCTAAATCAGGACTAAAGCAGGTCTAAAGCAGGTCTAAAGCAGGACTAAAGCAGGTCTAAAGCAGGTCTAAAGCAGGTCTAAATCAGGACTAAAGCAGGTCTAAAGCAGGTCTAAAGCAGGACTAAAGCAGGTCTAACTCAGGACTAAAGCAGGACTAAAGCAGGTCTAAAGCAGGACTAAAGCAGGTCTAAAGCAGGACTAAAGCAGGTCTAAAGCAGGTCTAAAGCAGGACTAAAGCAGGACTAAAGCAGGACTAAAGCAGGACTAAATCAGGAGTAAAGCAGGTCTAAAGCAGGACTAGCAGGACTAAAGCAGGTCTAAAGCAGGACTAAAGCAGGACTAAAGCAGGTCTAAAGCAGGTCTAAAGCAGGACTAGCAGGACTAAATCAGGTCTAAAGCAGGTCTAAAGCAGGACTAGCAGGTCTAAAGCAGGACTAAAGCAGGTCTAAAGCAGGACTAAAGCAGGTCTAAAGCAGGACTAAAGCAGGTCTAAAGCAGGACTAAAGCAGGACTAAAGCAGGACTAAAGCAGGACTAAACCAGGACTAAAGCAGGACAGGATCTGCCTTTCACCTGGACTGACCGAGACCAAAGAGAAACCGGGATAACATCGAACAAGGAACAATTGATTCTAGTTTCCCACTTCCACCACCAGAGGGCAGCGTTTCATTACTACACATTGGGTGTTCCCAGAGGTCTCCCATCACAGTACAAACCAGGCCATGCCCTGCTTAGCTTCAGAGGTCTTACAGGACCTGTGAATGTGCTGCTTTAAATAATATGACATATGCATAATTGATAAAACATTGTATAATGAAAGTAATTGAAATTAAACTCTATTAAAATAAACTCACATGAGACACATACTGTCTCTGAGGGACCAGAGAGAGAGACCAGAAAGACCAGAGAGAGACCAGAGAGAGACCAGAGAGAGAGACCAGAAAGACCAGAGAGAGAGGAGAGAGAGACCAGAGAGAGAGACCAGAGAGAGAGACCAGAAAGACCAGAGAGACCAGAGAGAGACCAGAGAGAGAGACCAGAGAGAGACCAGAGAGAAACCAGAGAGAGAGACCAGAGAGAGACCAGAGAGAGAGACCAGAGAGAGACCAGAGAGAGACCAGAGAGAGAGACCAGGGAGAGAGACCAGAGATAGACCAGAGATAGACCAGAGATAGACCAGAGATAGACCAGAGAGAGACCAGGGAGAGAGACCAGAGAGAGACCAGAGACAGACCAGAGTTGAAGGTCATGTGCCTCATGTTTGTGTGTTTGCAGGATGACGACCAAACGTAGGCTGATCACAGACTCGTTTAGAGTGGTGAAGAGAGAGAGACGAGGAGGAAAACGAGAGAGAACCCCCACGCCTCCTCCCACTCCACAACGTAAGACACACACACAGCTGAACACAACAAATACCAACTCATGATTGAGATACTCACCATGTACACCAGAGGTTAGAGAGAGACAGGTTAGAGAGAGAGAGACAGGGGTTAGAGAGAGACAGAGGTTAGAGAGAGAGAGACAGGGGTTAGAGAGAGACAGAGGTTAGAGAGAGACAGGTTAGAGAGAAACAGAGGTTAGAGAGAGACAGAGGTTAGAGAGAGACAGAGGTTAGAGAGAGACAGAGGTTAGAGAGAGAGAGACAGGTTAGAGAGAGACAGGTTAGAGAGAGACAGAGGTTAGAGAGAGACAGGTTAGAGAGAGACAGGTCAGAGAGAGACAGAGGTTAGAGAGAGACAGAGGTTAGAGAGAGAGAGACAGGTTAGAGAGAGACAGGTTAGAGAGAGACAGGTTAGAGAGAGACAGAGGTTAGAGAGAGAGAGACAGGTTAGAGAGAGACAGGTTAGAGAGAGACAGAGGTTAGAGAGAGACAGGTTAGAGAGAGAGAGACAGAGGTTAGAGAGAGACAGGTTAGAAAGAGACAGAGGTTAGAGAGAGACAGGTTAGAGAGAGACAGGTTAGAGAGAGACAGAGGTTAGAGAGAGACAGAGGTTAGAGAGAGACAGGTTAGAGAGAGACAGAGGTTAGAGAGAGACAGAGGTTAGAGAGAGACAGAGGTTAGAGAGAGACAGAGGTTAGAGAGAGAGAGGTTAGAAAGAGACAGAGGTTAGAGAGAGACAGGTTAGAGAGAGACAGAGGTTAGAGAGAGAGAGACAGGGGTTAGAGAGACACAGAGGCAAGAGAGACAGAGGTTAGAGAGAGACAGAGGTTAGAGAGAGAGAGGTTAGAGACAGACAGAGGTTAGAGAGAGACAGAGGTTAGAGAGAGACAGGTTAGAGAGAGACAGGTTAGAGAGAGACAGAGGTTAGAGAGAGACAGAGGTTAGAGAGAAACAGGTTAGAGAGAGACAGAGGTTAGAGAGAGACAGAGGTTAGAGAGAGACAGGTTAGAGAGAAACAGAGGTTAGAGAGAGACAGGTCAGAGAGAGACAGAGGTTAGAGAGAGACAGAGGTTAGAGAGAGACAGAGGTTAGAGAGAGACAGAGGTTAGAGAGAGACAGAGGTTAGAGAGAGAGAGACAGGTTAGAGAGAGACAGGTTAGAGAGAGACAGGTGAGAGAGAGACAGAGGTTAGAGAGAGACAGGTTAGAGAGAGACAGAGGTTAGAGAGAGACAGAGGTTAGAGAGAGACAGAGGTTAGAGGGAGAGAGACAGGTTAGAGAGAGACAGGTTAGAGAGAGACAGGTTAGAGAGAGACAGAGGTTAGAGAGAGACAGGTTAGAGAGAGAGAGACAGGTTAGAGAGAGACAGGTTAGAGAGAGACAGAGGTTAGAGAGAGACAGGTTAGAGAGAGAGAGACAGAGGTTAGAGAGAGACAGGTTAGAAAGAGACAGAGGTTAGAGAGAGACAGGTTAGAGAGAGACAGGTTAGAGAGAGACAGGTTAGAGAGAGACAGAGGTTAGAGAGAGACAGAGGTTAGAGAGAGACAGAGGTTAGAGAGAGAGAGGTTAGAAAGAGACAGAGGTTAGAGAGAGACAGGTTAGAGAGAGACAGGTTAGAGAGAGACAGGTTAGAGAGAGACAGGTTAGAGAGAGACAGAGGTTAGAGAGAGACAGAGGTTAGAGAGAGACAGAGGTTAGAGAGAGAGAGGTTAGAAAGAGACAGAGGTTAGAGAGAGACAGGTTAGAAAGAGACAGAGGTTAGAGAGAGACAGGTTAGAGAGAGACAGGTTAGAGAGAGACAGAGGTTAGAGAGAGACAGGTTAGAGAGAGA